GTCATATTGGTCCGCCGTGCAATAGAATTCCGATCGTCGAATAATCTTGTGGTTGGTAGCTCAAAACTTGTACAATGTGATTTCTAGGCGATTAGAGTCTAGAGAAATGGGTTCCTCGAGACGATAATCCTCCAGTTATATTGCTCCCCCGACCAGAATTTTAATTTTTACGTACTTATAGTAACAAATGACGAATAAAATCAACCTACTGCGACATATTCTCGACATTTCTTCGATTAAGCAGTATAATTTACGTTTCTTGATCGAACAGGTCGTTGCATAGGAAAGAGTGACGCGCCTCGAACCTCGACCCTGAATTTCCAACGGATATCTCTCTCGCCATGTGCGTTCGACATTCACGGACGAACGGTAAATTTCCGTGGCCTCCAAAAGGAAAATGCCAGTTAGGACTCATGAAACGGGTACGAAACGAGGGAACGGAATGCTCGAAAGTTTTTTTTTCTAAATGATAGAGGGTCAGCCGATAAGTTAACATTGAGTTTGACGTTGAAGACTGCAAATTGGAGTTTGATTTATCCTACGATCCTTCACGCTCGATGACAAGACTTGAGTTGCAAATCCATTAATATCGCCTAAGAATTCAATGACCTACTGCAGGCCATTCGAGTTTCCTCCATCATGTGCAAGCCGGGGATTGTGCAAATGCATTCCTAGTCCCAGCGTTCGTTTAAGTCGCAATCGCGGTTCAGAGCTTGTTTGCTAACAGCGAGGCAGTCACATCGATTTCTATTCCACGGTTCTGAACACGCACCATAGATTTAATATGAAACATTCGATCCCTGTTTGGAATTGCTTCTCTTCCATACATAAGAGTTCACTTTTTAAGATCTGCATATATATAAACGATCAGGTTGAGTGGAACTCGTTAGCTAGAAACTCAATCAGCTAAACAGTTGCGGATCTCATTAGCAACCAGCTTTAAACTAATGTTCCGTGGATGAAAAATGTCTTCCAAAGGCGAGAAATTGTGCATTCTAACTATGGTAGAATTATTGCCGTCGTTAAGACGCTCGTGTTTTTATTAATGATAAACGGAGCAAGTTCCCGTTAGACGACGAGGAAAGGAGCTGAACGTCCATCGAGGAGTGCATCGATGATAACCGGAAATTAGATCACATCCTGTGACGTGGAAGATCGCGCCTGGCAACCAGAGGGGGGCTCATCGCACTGTTACCGTAATACGGTGGGGTAATTAGGCCTGGTCGTCCCATTCATCGAAAGAAGTGCAAAATCCTCACAATGAGGTATTCAAATGCTCGAGTCTCGTGGCTCCATTTGCATGTGATGAGGTAATATCGGGGCTAAGTGTTGCTCTGGAACCGCGATGAGTCTCACGGTGGCTGCGTTTATTGTCTTTTCCTAGATTCAACGATATCCCCTTTGATCTAACCAAACTTGTATCGTTGTTACGTAAACGAGGAAAGCGTGTATGTATCAAGAATATTTTGCAAGGGCGAGATGCAGCGTCACGGAAGCTTCTGCAGGAACATGGTCGCCAGACGTTACTGTGCGTAATATCGAGCGCAGGTTTTTTTGCGGTAAAACGTGACATCGACACCTAGGCGGATGTGTACGTCGATATCCGCAACGAAAGCGAACGAAAGTCTTCCTTTTGTCGGTGATTCGTTCACCCGTGGGATAATGAAATTAAGATCCATTTGTGGTTACATAATCCAGCTCTAAGCACTCCTATTTCGCAAGATTTCTTGCAATTTATACGGTTAATTTCATACCATTCGTGTTCGTATACGAGTCCATGTATCATTTTATGATACGTATATGGTACAGAAAGTTGATTCAATCAAGAAACTTGACATTGGAAGTCGTTAACCCGTAATAGGTTGCGCAAAACCTGCTCCGAAGAGCGTCTTCGTGCCTCGAATCGAGACGGCTCGGGCAGCCATTGTGTATCGATTACCAATTTCGTCCAGAAGCGGAAGTCGTCGTGAAAGTCCATCTACGGCGCCGGAAACCATCGTCGGACAATACCAACCGGTACATCGGTCCGTGATAACCGTATCGGTAAAGTTCGTCGACATTTCAGTGTCGAATCCTAAAAATGGCGTCTCGCCGTCCCCAGAAATAAGATTATTACTTAATATAGGTTGCTTAACTCGTGACACAACAGAGAAAAGGTCGATTTCGCGTAACGATATGAATAATTAATTTACGACGACTTTCTTTCGTCTTCCTTCCCAAAGAAAGCGTTGTATTTGAAAAAAGTGGGGGGACTAGTCTTTCAACTTGGCTGGACTGTGGATGTTTGTGCAAATTTATGTTGCCACCGATACAGAAAACAGTAGAATACAGCATAATTCAGGATAATACTGCAAAATACAGCAGAAGTCAGAATAATACAACGAAATAGAGCAGAATTCAGGATAATATAACATATATTATTGTTGATATTTTATATAATTCTGCATTTGCGCCCATTCTTATCTCATATGTATTTCTATTTCCCATAAGTGAATGATAAGAATGATGAATACTTGTGATCACGCTCGTTCCAACCAGGCATCGAAGTCTCCGACTCGAGGAACCGCATTAGAGGGAAAGTGCGCAACAAAAGAGCAATTAATTGGGCAATTTGCCTGATCACTGATACACTTTCACGATTAAAAGTACACAATTCGATGATAGGCCAATGAGGATGTAACATCGTTCCAACTAATAATATAACGGTTACCTTCGATAAGAATCGAGGTCCACGGATTGTAATTTGAGACACGACGCGTTACGAGTACGCCATGCGGTTAATTTATGTTGTGCCAGCTGTTAAAATTGTATCTCCAAGGGATCCAGTTAGAAAGTATGTTTCCAGTATCATCGTAATTACCGTTTTACCAGCACTTCCTGGTTACGTTGAAACCGTTATTTGGCACAGTGTCTAGAGAGATAAATTTCCCCGCAGGATGTAGATACGATACGCTGCGAGCGGCGTCGAATCGATAAGTACTGCAAACTACCGTACGCCTCGCCGCAATAAGCAGCTATGTATGTAAAAAAAAAAAAAAAAAAAAAAAAAAAGAAACATACACAGACGCAGGTGTAACCTCTGGAACACGATTTGTCTTGGAACTATGGCTGATCGAATTATTAATTATTATTAAACAACACAGGAAATTTTGAAACGGTCGTAAAGATCCCAACTAGACAACGCAGGAAGTGACCGAGTAAAAGCTAATTAATGCACGGATAAGGCGCGGTTCATTAACGAGTGATAATCGTCCCTTGTCACGTGAGAGACGCAAATGAAAAGGACGAACAGCGAAGAGGAAATCGCGATATGAGGCTGTAGGTCAGTACTAGAAAGTATTCGGATTTCCTGGTTGCTGGCACGAAACGGTGCGTGCAAAAACCGAGCGAGGACTCCCAGGGCTCGGCGCGTTTCAAACGCGATGGCGCGGACCGAACAATCGTCGTTGCTCCAACGAATTCCCGGAACCAGATTCTGCGACTGTTTCGCAAAAAATCGCGACGGGTGGAAAGGCAAATAGCGTGCATCAAAATAGTTGTTTCGTGGATTTATTTAATGGAGGATTTCGACAAGACCTCACTCGACTGTTCTTTGATTAAATATGAACCGTATGAGCCTACTTCGATTTAAATTGACCGTCTTAGTTTTACGAAAAACTATATAAAAATTATGTAATTATAACGTAGAACAGCGTGTGGAAGTCGCACTAAAGTCATGAGAATGTCTGCAGGGACAATCTTCCGGGAGCCATCGCGACTCTTCGTCGCTTCCTGCGACATTATCTCCGCGATCATTCTGTTTACCGATTTTAATAAGTTCCGTGCATATTTCGTGGCGTCTACGAGACTGGCGTGCCGATCGAGGCCTCCGCGGTGGAAAGAGCGTAATGCGCCATAGCAACAGCGCGAAGAACAAGAACAAGGCTCTTAATTTGATATACTCTAATTGCCGCGTCCAGTTAACCCGCGTTCTTCTCGAATCCATTCCTTTTCTACTCTATAAACTTCCATCTTTTTTTTCTTTAGTCACTGTACCTTTCCAGCTGAATTAATTTTCTAAAAATGGCGTGGAAGTGCCCGAACGACCTCTTCAAGGCTCATACGCGGTCGTTTCTTTAGTTCTATTAAATATTATTCCATTTTTACTTATTTTAATCAGTTTTCAGTATCTGCAACATTCGCATTATTTGCAATATTTTCAACACTATTTTTGCTAAATTCCTGCCGCGTTTCCCATCGTGATCGATGGATCGCAGGACTGTTGGAAAGCTGTCGCGCAACCCGTTCCTTCAGCCGGTCTTAAAGGCGGGCTCGACGAGTATCGAACGAGGATCGAACAGTCCGAACGATTGCACGTGCGCAGCGCACGTATACGTTCGCGCGACGAGTTGCGGCTAATTGCGAGGGGATAAGAATGACGCAACCTCCTCGACGGCGGACGGACTGTAAACTCGTGGGAAATGCATCGCGGTACACCCGCCAATCGTGAGGAGCGCGTTGCCAGCCGCGTGGAATCGCGAAAGTTTATTATTTTGTGACGAGGAGAGTTCGTCGCCGTTATACAGTCGCTTTTATGCAACGTTCCATTGTTCTTTTTTCGAGTCGGACCGATACGACCAACTGAAGCGCGCGACGGTTCGTGCCTGCCATTTTGGGGTCATTGAGAGACGAAGAAAATTAAGATGGGAAGTTTTGGGGTAGTAGAAGCTTGGGGAAGTTGGTCTTCAATAGGTCGTGTATTTTTTCTTGAAGTAGAAGGTGATTTCTTGCTAAAACCTCAGTAGCGCCACAGGTGGAGGCGCTACTGAGAACCTCGGTCTTAAATTGGTTTCTCAGTCTCTGTATCAAAGACCCCATCTGTTTTCAACAACACAATCTTCAAAAGCCCCAGAAAACCATTAACAAAAGCCATCTTCGTCTCTTTCTAGGAACTCAGTCCACTTCCCTACACACCGCGTGTAACAGTGCGCGCATTAACATACAGCGCAAATCGACTCGAAATGTTCTCCTTTCACGCTGCACAGGGCCTTCAATTAAAACAGAGCCCAGACAATGCAGCGACAGCCGCTCGATAACGCTAACGGTACACCCGAGGGGCATCACTCCGCGATACCCTTTCGTATATAATTAGGTCGTTCGTCTAATCACCGATTCAGCGATGGTTAGGTTTATCTTCGTGCCTTGGGATCCTCGGATGCGTAGTAATTCAACCAACGACGACGCTAGTCGCCCGGAATACCCGTTAGCCGCGATCGACAGGAAGTCTGCATCGCCTAAGCCGGCCACGCTGCGAGATTACGTTTACGCTCTCAGGAAATCTGGCCGAACTGGGTATGTGAGTTAAACGCCTCTGCGCGCCACCTTCACCCGGTGACTGTCGATAATCGACCGTCCGTAGCTGGCATAACGGTTCTCAATGGAATACGTCATCTCTCGTGTCTTTGCCGCGTCGAAGAACAGCGTACATGCGCGTGGTTGTCGAGGATGAGGGAACAAGAAAAACGAAGGCCTTCCTCTGCCATTGGAACTGGTTTGATGACGTTTCAGTAATATTTGAAATAGTTGCCGCTAACGTAATTTTTCTTGAAATTACTTGGCCTTTGTGGAGATTAATTAAACGATCGTAATTAAGTGTTTGTTATCCTCTTGCATCTCGTTTAACGACGTTCGACTGGATTTGGAGGATGTTTGAAATGGCGACAGGTCAAAAGGTTTTTCTTGAAATTGCTTGGCCTTTATGAAGATTAATTAAACGATGATAATTAAGTGTTTGTTATCCTCTTGCATCTCGTTTGACGACGTTTGACTGAATTTGAGGAATGTCCGAAATGAGCCAGGTCAAACCAATGGCTGATCTAACAATTAACTAATTTAATTTGCTCCTGATACGTCTTGCGTCTGGTTTGATGACGTTTGACTATATTTAGGTGATTTTTGAAAAGGGGCAAGCCAAAAGAATGGCTGATCTAACAATAAGCTAACGAATTTGACCTCCTCCTGATATAATCCGATGGATATATCCTTCCTTCCCGAAGACGTGCCGCACAGAGCATCGTCATTAAATAATAACTCGCTGCCCACGGAGATTTATCACGGTTCTCGGTTACGCGGCAAGGTATGCAACTGCTGTGCCACAATTCAGCCGCAGAAACCGTAAGGAATTTTATGGGAACCGGTGTAGATCCTATACACAGTAGAACGACCGCGTCTTCCGCGTCTTTTCCACTGTACGAAAAGTCTCATTAAAGTCTTTCAGTGAATGTTGATTGGCATTCGCGTTCACTTTACTTGTTATTCATCATTTCTTCAACCGTTGAATCTCGTTCGCCTTTCGATACTGCGTTTTTGGTCCTCGGGTGGTTTCACTTTCTCAATTATTTTCTCGTTTCTGAATAACGTTAACAAAAAACGTTCCGACGTAGAAATTTAGAATTGGACCGATTTAGGACCGAATAAAAATTGCGCTGCCTCAACAATTTAATTACTCGTCTTCTTTTATGTTACCTTGAAAGAATTCTGGTCTATACGATGGCCTCGTTTAGCTCATTTATAACACTTTCCCCCCCAGAGTGTGCGTTTTCCATCCAGTCAGCATAAATTAAACCGTCGATGCTAACGAGCAGCCAGTGTAAACGAAGCGTTTCTTTCTGTTGCAGGAATATGCTGATAAGAGAATTGGCGGCCGTGTGGGTCGCCGTCCTCTTGTGCCATCTTCAGCTAACGGAGTCTCAGGTGAGCGTTTGATTATTATTCCGTCACGGTTTGCCGATCACATCGCGGACAGCATTGTTTAAGCCACGAACCGCACTTGCCTGTCAATTATTTCACGCTACCATCTTCGATGCTACGAACCATCCCGATCGTCCCTGAAAAGAAAACCTTTTCGTTAGCCGAATGAATTTTTATGAAATAGTCTAGAATACTTTGACAATCACAAGTCGCAATATTTTTAACGATGTTCTCAGACCTATAATCGTTCTAGCGTTCAACACATTAACTAATAAACTCCGTGTAATCGATCGTGCCTCGTTGGAACATCCAATCGCAATAAAGCACATTTTATTAACCATAACCGAAAAGGGAAAATTGAACCCCGAGGATTAAATAACCTCATACGTTCCTTCGAGCGCTGCAGAAATCGCGCGATAAACGCGAAAAGTAATTTCCAGGTTGTGATTCGAGCCTCGTCCAATGGCGTGCGAGCACGCATCAGGCGCATCACGCAACGGCACGTAATTGCGGCCGGGGGAACGAAAATCGGCATCGGGGAGAATTTTCTCGTGTGCCGCGAGATAAGATGTTGCCTAGAATTCTTGAGAAATTGAACCGCGGATTATGAAGTAATTGGCATGTAGTCTCCACAAGGAGTTACCACTGGCCACCGTGAATTGTGGCGTGCGCGAGGTGAAAGTGAATTTCAGCGTGGATTCGCGTGCACGCATGCGCACTGGCCGACGCGCCAATAATGTTAGCGTACGTTGCAACATTTTGTGTACAGGAAGTGTATAGAATCGCTAGACAAAGTTCAAGAGAAATTTAGCTGTTCGAGAAGTAAATCAAGAAACTTCGGAGGCAAATAAATGTTATCTACCCTCGTTGAGGTCATTCTTAAAGTAATGCACTGGTTTGATTATTATTCTTGAGGATGACCTCCATGGAGGTCGAAAATGTTTGCTCGCAGATTAATTACCGTCTCGTACAGCGCTCTTGCATTCTTCCGCTTGGTAAATTCATAAAGCAGTTCGTATGACGAAACGCGAAACTTGATATAAAACACGAGTTCCATTGGCAGCAAGGTGAGCTATCTGAACTAGAAACAGTAGTCAGCTAAGGTCTCAGCGTATTATTTTCACTAGTCACACGAGATTAAATTCACGTGAGACGCGTAGGTTACTTATGCAATCTCGTTCTTTAATACGAACTTGCGTAACATTGAATAAAAATTCAATTTAGACACAGAATTTGTCAAAATATACCGTGACGTCTCAAAATTCACGCTTTGCTTGATATCTTACTGCAACCTTCCACCGTTCTCAGGTTGCCGGGCCTCCAACGGCCATTTGTGGAACTAAAACCGTCGCGTTCCATTTTGCCTCTTATCATTTTTAACAGTGGCGATCTTACGCAGATCTGGCGGTCGTTCGAGACGAAACAGCGCATTGTTATTCCCCAGAGAGAGAAAGTGAAGATGAAATCAGAGGATCTCGACTCTGCGCCCGTCTTTGGCGGAAAGCACGGCTCGTACGGTGGAAACCGATGGGTCTCGACGCTCTCGACTCCTTTTCATCGGTGTTCGCGGGTACGAGCACCGGAATATCAGTGACATAACGGTGACTGCATTCTTGAGGGAGGTGCGAGTCGCAACCGACCGCTGAATGCACGGGAAAGCTGGCGCTGAAGGTTCCACGCCATTGCGCGACGATCGCTGACAAGCCACGAGGAATAATTCGCTGCTTCAAGGCGCGTTTACCTAACCAACACCATCTCGGGACTAATTTTTCGATCCTCTCGTAATATGAACAATTGGTACGAGAAAATTCACAATGCTGTATTGAAACAAATTATATGGAAATGTTTAATAAGTTCGTACCATGGTAAAGCTGTGGTGTCGGGACCTTTAAACTTTTAGATCTTGCGATTATGTGACTTGTGATTGTAATGTATGTCTCAATTCCGTAACCTATGATTTAAGTCGCGCTCACTTGGACCATAGTTGATCGCGTAACCCCTTTATTATAAGCTAAGAGGCAATAACATCGAAAATATTTCTCTTTCACCAAGTGACCTTAAACTACAAGTGAGAACGGGGCTTAAGGTCCACCATCCCGCAGTTCAACTCGAGCGTAAACGTTAGAGCCTAGCTCAACTCTCTGCTTGGGTTATAATTATATATTGATTATATTTTTCATTCAATAATTGACCTTAAGCTTCAAGTGAGAACGGGGCTTAAGGTCCGCCATCCCGCTGTAGACGTTTATGCCTAGCTCAATTCTCTGCTTGGATTATAACATTGATTATATTTCTCTTTCACCAAGTGACCTTAAGCTGGAAGTGAGAACGAGCTTAAGGTCTACCATCCCGCAGTTCAATTCGAGCGTAGAGCCTAGTCTAACTCTCCTTCGATAAAAAAAGACCCACTTTCCTCTTCGCGCTTCGCCACCTTGCAACCGACGACAATAGTGTCATCCTTTTACGTAATCCGCGGTCGTAACTCGCGGCAAGTTCCCGCGATACTTCCTACGATTCATCGCCGTTATCCCACGATAAGTCTTCAGTCTGGTGCTTCGACGTTTCGTCAGTGGGTAATAGCACCGGGTTAATTGCAAAATGGCGCACGCACAGACTCGCGGAAGGAATCCTTGTTTGCGGGTGAAATCTGTGCCAGAGATTCGAATCGACGCGTAGCGTGTAATTGGATCGAATATTACTCGTTAACGAGACCGTGCATGCACTTTCGACCCTGCGGGAAATAATTTGAGAATATGAAAATTTATCGCGGCAACTCGCCGTCCATTTGGCGAGATAAATTATCGGAAAGTAGCATGGACGATCAGGCCCTTTGAGTTACGACGCTGTAAAACCGTTTCCAAAGCATTCCTTTATCTCTTTGTTGCAGGTTCCTGCCACGAACGTCTTCACCTGTCCGAATGGTGAGTAGCTTCGCAGCTTTTTCTGGTTTTCTATGGTCACTGGGGCAGGTAAACATTCTGAGCCTTCGGTTACCTTGAAAAGGTCGCACCCGGAGCCTGGCCAGGTAGACTGCCGAACGAGTGGACCGAGGTCATGCTCTTGGGCGATTTAAGACTCTTTCACAACGTGCAGACGTGGCTCATGGATCCTTGCCTCAGGAATTATTATAATTATTTAGATACGAGACTTTTGGTGACGTGGGCGACATGCTAATTATTAATATGCGTGGACAGACGATGGAACTCGAGAAATATCGAAGCAAACGACGCACCCAGTGCGAGGGACAATGAGGATAAGAGTTCGGCCGTTCGTAACGTTGCTCCACTTTTCCTCGTCGCTGCCAGTTGCAATTAAGTAGGTTGCACGTATCAGTACGAAGCTTCTTGATCGTTGACCGTGTTCTGTCGCGTGCGTTTGAGATATTTCAAGCTCGATCGAGGCGCCCAGAGGAACGATGCTTTTCGCCCAAGGGGATTCCGTCGAGGCCAGTCTCGAAAACAACTTTATTTTACACTCGCGACCCAAGGCCTCGAAAGTGAAGCGTTTGGCGTTTCGACTTCGACGGTCTCAGCATGTGACGTGCAAAAAGACACGATATATTAAACCTGTGCGTCATCGAACCTCGAAGTGAGTGAAAAATATTGTTCAAGGGGGAATCATTCAAAAATGATACATGCAATATTCAATTATACAAGCGTGGGCAATGTACGATAGTAGTGAGGGCATATAACCAGCTCCACAAGAATGATCATTGATGTCTCCATCGCGCGTTGAAATCTCAAGATCTTGTTATTCAAAGTGCAGTACGTTCCCTTGTGAAGATAAAAATTCTGAATATTCTTTAATTAACTGCTATGATTCTAGAATTTGTTTACTTTCACTTCGAGATTCGTTGCACCCAAAGAACCCCGTTCAAACGATGGCCACCCTTGGAGCCCTTGTTATTTAGAAACATTCAGCAGCCCTATGGTTGGAAACAGGCTCTGGTCCCGCACCTGGCCCAAAATTCTCGACCTGCTACACAATAATGGCATACCGATGCCGTAGGATCACACAGGTAGACGCGGGGGGGAAGAGGGTCGAGAAACAAGACGGCATTCCTAAACCGTGAATCCTTCTCCAACGTCGCGTCGAGCGCTACAGCTCGTCCTCGTCGTATGTAAACTGGCGACCCTAAAAATACACCTCGCGAATTCACGTCACGGTTATCCACCTTCCACGAGGTAAACTCGAGCGAGCACGCGCGCGCATCGTCCTCGAACGGGATTCCAAAAAGTGGAGCATCCGGCAACATGTTCCGCGACTGATCACCCGTCGTCTTCTACGCGAGAGCCTATCCAGGGTCTACTAATAATAGAACTTACAATAAACTATTTGCGTGGTATAGAAGCGAAAGATGCGAAGAAATTGTTTTCTTTTTTATTATTTTGGAATTATTAGATATTCTTCATAAACTTATTTTCGGGAAGTTAATAGCAGATGAAGTTGATTTTTGGAATATTCTAGCCGGGATACGCTATTGCTCGATCGAGAAATGTTAATAGGCGCGAGAGGTACAGGGTACAGCATACGTTGTACCAACATGGCCGTTTGACCTTTTAAAAGAAAGGAAGGCCGACGGCGCGTTTATCGCGGCGAGTCTAGCTCAAATTGCGTGGAGGAATCATCGATGCCACGTATAATATCAACGAGCACGCGAAGAAGCTCTTGTATGTAAAATATCGAAGGCGCAGCTTCGTATTAAATTCTCCTACCAAAAATGATATTGTAGTTTATTAGAAGATCTTATATCTCGAGCATCTTATATCTCGCGAAGCAACGTTTCGAACGACCTGAATTTTCTATCGCTGGAGTCGATCGAAGCCGTTTGTCGATCTAAAAGCTGTTCGAGGCTATAGAATCGACTCGTCACAGCCATAACGGAAAAAGAACACGGTTACTCGTAACACTTTTGATTTCCAACGGCCTATTCTCGAAGAATCATAAAACAAGTAGGATAGTCGGCGAGGCGATCTCGCGTGGCACCAATCGATTTCTCGGTAACCAGACTGAGATACCAGTTTCCTGAACATCCGTGTGCAACGCGCTTGTCTGATGAACGTGTCCGCGTCCTCGTCGAAGAGACGCACAATCTCAGAAACACCAAGTCATGGAACAAATCGTTCGATTCATTTTTATGGACAAATATTCATAAATCTAAGGAAAAATGCTTTCAACAAAGAACGACAGATGGCGGCCTAACGAAAAATGTATCATAGATAGAGACACTGCAATTTCGATTCCCAATGTAAACAAAATTCTGTTCGACGAAAAAGAAGTCCTATTTGGTAGGCGGATGAGTCATATGTCCCTGACAGCTGGTCTCTGACTTCTCAATTGGAACGGTCAACAACGCGAGGAAGCGAAGACGTTTCACTCATTCTCCTCCGCGATGTTACCTGTTTACCCACCGACCTACCTTTGACTCTGTACGCACACACGGTGCATCGCACTAAAAACGATCCAGGTCGTCACGTCCGTCACTGTCTGTACAGGTCACCGGCTAACCGCGTTTCCCGCCGAAGATCTGTCACGTCACAGTACAACGCGCGTAACCAAATGGTTTAGGTAATAGAAGCTATGGAAGCTTATATACGAGAGGACTGAAAGGTTCTGGGCTCAACCAGGAAGGGCTAGAGGGCACTGAGCTCAGATACGGGGGGTTAGAGGATATTAGACTCAGATACAGAGGGCTAGAAGGTATTAGGCTCATATACAGGGGGCTAAAAGGTATTAGGCTCAGATACAGAGAGCTAGAGGGTATTAAGCTCAGATACAGGGGACTAGAGGGTATTAGTCTCAGATGGGGGGGTTAGAGGGTACTGAGCTCAGTTACAGGGTCTACAAGGCATTGGGCTCAGCTACCGAGGGGCTAGGGAGCACTGAGCTCAGATAAAGAGGGCTAGAGGGTATTAGACTCAGATACAGGGGGCTAAAAGGTATTAGTCTCATACGTGGGGGGCTAAAGGGCACTGACCTCAGATACAGGGGGCTAAAGGGTACTGTGTTTAACTACTGGGGGCTAAAGACACTGGGCACAGATGCAGGGAACTAACTGTCACTGGGTAGTTTGTACACTTGCTTGAACACAAAGTTCTATTACACTTGGTCACATGTGAGCCCTATTTCACTTCTTCGTGGCTTCCGCTATCATCCAATTAATACTCGGTTCTTTCTTCCTCAGGATGGGAGCTGAGAGGCATCCACTGCTACAAATTCTTCAACATCAGGCACTCCTGGGAGAAAGCGGCTGAACTATGTAGAAGGTGAGTCGATGGTTGGCTTTATATCCACGTTATTGGACGCTAGAATGGAACAAGGCATCGACGAATTGACGTGGGATTGTAGGTACGGCAGCGAACTGATGGTGGTGGAGTCCTACAGCGAGAACAACATGTCCGCAAGCATGATCGGCCGGCATTTGGATCGTTACTGGTTAGGTCTTGCCTCCCTAGACGATCTGCGGACCAACACGCTCGAATCGGCGGCTGGAATGCTCGTCTCCCAATACGCAGGTACGTAGAATTCCATTTCGACTTGCCGGTGCAATTAGAGACTTTTGAGGTCCGCGTAAGAGTGCCTAGCGTACAGTACTTGCGGGAAAGGGATCGATACGTTGCCCTCTAGCGACGAGTATGGAAGGCACACTACGATCGAACTTGTCCATACACGTGTGCGCGCCGGCAGGTTTCCATCGAGGTCACGGAAACGCGGAACTACCGCGATGTACACAGCACGAAGACACACTTTTCCCACAACAATGCCCAGATAACGCCGCTTTTACGTCCGACGCGACGCAAACAGTAATTTCCATGTCTTGCGCGTTATGCGTGCATTTGCATAATGCTTCTTTCACTTTGGCTTTTGCTTGGTCTATCTGGACCTGAAAGTCATCATCGGAATCTGTTCACTTTTCTCGTCGAGGAGTGAGTCAACTCCTGGAATGAAAATACTAGATCCCTGGATAAATGAACGCCTCTTGTGATCCTTTACCCGGGTGTTCAACGTTCCTCTTCCGTCCAAATTTTCGTGAAACAAGCGCTGCAGTAGGGCTCAAGTGTTCTTGTATTCAGGTTTCTGGGCGTCGAAGCAACCAAATCCGCAATCAGGTGAATGCGTGGACGTCGCTTTGATGGATGACCGTCAAACGTGGGAGCTGACCACGTGCGAATCGTTGCTTCCCTTCATGTGTCGAGCTAACGCCTGTCCTGCGGGTAAGTAATCCCAACCGTGACGAAAGTTGAATCGACGGATCACCTGTGTCTCACGCTGTCAATGTATTCGTGTGGTCAGGTTCGTTCCATTGTTCGAATGGCAAGTGCGTGAACGCAGCGTTCAGGTGCGACAAGCAGGACGACTGCGGCGATTATTCAGATGAAATAGACTGTCCTGCTAACTGTCAGTTTTACATGGCGAGCAGCGGCGACGTGGTCGAGAGCCCTAATTATCCCCACAAATATGCACCCCTCAGCAACTGCAAGTGGACCCTCGAGGGTCCCCAGGGCCACAACATCCTCCTACAGGTACGCAACGTCGCGTAATTTATTCGAGAGGTGTAGTATCGATGTTTCACGGAACACGATTTCTAGTTTCAAGAGTTCGAGACGGAGAAGAGCTTCGACATAGTGCAGATCCTGGTCGGTGGCAGAACGGAAGAGAAATCCGTGAATCTCGCGACCCTGTCGGGCAAGCAGGAGCTCAGCAACAAGCTGTTCGTGTCCGCCTCGAATTTTATGATTATTAAATTCAGCACGGACTCCTCGGTGGAGAGGAAAGGGTTCCGCGCTTCTTGGAAAACCGAGCCGCAAACCTGCGGCGGTGTTCTACGAGCGACACCTCAAGGACAGGTGCTCACGTCACCAGGATATCCGCAGAATTATCCCGGTGGCTTGGAATGTCTCTACATCCTGCAGGCTCAGCCAGGCCGCATCATGTCGTTGGAGGTGCGTAACTTACGCGTAAAACTGTTCATTTCCACAAAACAACCGGTTGTGATTTGACCATTCCACGTGATGGTTTCAGATCGAGGACTTGGATCTCGAGATGAACCGCGATTACATCCTCATCAGGGACGGTGACTCACCGATGAGCAGTCCTATCGCCCGATTAACAGGGAAGTCCGAGGATAACCCAACGGTGATAATGTCTACCGGGAATAGCTTGTACCTTTACTTCAAGACCAGCCTTGGCGATTCGAGGCGGGGCTTCAGCATTCGTTACACGCAGGGCTGCAAAGCCACGATCATCGCGAGAAACGGAACGGTTCAGTCGCCTTCGTTCGGCTTGAACGACTATCCTAACAATCAGGAGTGCTTGTACAGGGTGAAGAATCCGCAGGGAGGCCCGCTGTCCTTGAAATTCGTTAACTTCAACGTCCACAAGACTGACTTCGTGCAGGTAACACGCGTTTTCGGTATCGATGAAACTTCCCGACAGGGGCACACTCCGAGTTCTGATTTATGAATCCACTTTGTAGATATACGATGGTCCAAACACGAACGGACTACGTTTACATCCCGGGAATGGATTCACATCCAACACTAGGCCAAAGATTACGCTCACCGCTGAAAGCGGAGAGATGCTTGTTAGGTTCACCTCTGACGCCTTGCACAGCAGTCCTGGATGGCAAGCAGAGTTCTCAGCAGGTAACTTGAAAGCCTCCGAGTGATTTCTGATCGTTTAGTTGCGCGATTGTTTCGATCACGGATGATTTTGTATTTCCTCAGATTGTCCACAACTTCAGTCTGGCGAAGGTGCTCTGGCTTCCAGCAGGGACACTGCTTTTGGTACAGTGGTGACATTCTCCTGTCCCTTGGGTCAAGAATTTGCAACTGGCAAACCGAAAATGACTACAGAGTGTCTGCCAGGTGGGAACTGGTCGGTAACGTACATCCCTAAATGCCAGGAAGTCTACTGCGGGCCTGTACCTCAAATAGACAATGGTTTCTCGATCGGGTCATCTAACGTCACGTACAAGGGCCTAGCTACTTATCAGTGCTACGCTGGATTCGCGTTTCCATCTGGTCGTCCTACCGAGAAGATTTCTTGTATGGCTGATGGAAGATGGGAGAAGAAACCTTCTTGCTTGGGTAAGTTGACTGCAGTTATTCAAGTGCCATCATCAATGAGGATAATCTTCATGTTACACCAATACGTTTCTTTTACAGCCTCTCAGTGCTCTCCGCTTCCGGAGGCTCCTCACTCGAACATCACTATTCTGAACGGAGGCGGTCGCAGTTACGGAACGATTGTTAGATTCGAATGCGAGCCAGGATACGTCAGAAGTGGACATCCAGTAATTCTTTGCATGAGCAACGGAACATGGTCCGATGAAGTGCCGACGTGTTCTCGTAAGTACCTTCTTCTATGCAAGTGGTCAATTCGCAACAGGTTGCACAAACCGACGCCTCCGAGTTTCAATTGTTGATATCTTGTTGTGTAGGAGCAAAATGTCCATTACTGCCCACGATCAAGAACGGTTTCGTCGTCGACACGACCAAGGAGTACTTGTATGGCGATGAAGCCAGGGTGCAGTGCAACAGAGGCTACAAACTTTCAGGATCCAACATCATCCAATGTGGGCCCGACCAACGTTTCGACAATGTTCCCACTTGCGAAGGTAAGATTGTCCAAAGTCTAGCGTCGAACTTCTCCGTACTTGTGAATTCAATGTTCCAGATATAAACGAGTGCGCGTCGAGTCAATGCGACCTAGCCTCCACCGAGTGCATAAACAACCCTGGTGCATTCACGTGCAAATGCAAGTCAGGCTTCGCTCCAACTATGGAATGCAGGCCTATAGGTGATCTTGGACTCATCAATGGAGGTATTCCCGACGAATCGATCACCGTCTCGAGTTCTGAGAATGGCTACACTAGAACTGTGAGTAACTGCATGTAATAAATTAACCTGCAATCTAATTTAAACTTGACCCTACTAACCGTTGATCCTTCCTATATTTAACTCTAAGGGCGTCCGTCTGAACAATGGCGATGGTTGGTGTGGCAACAATATCGAACCAGGGACGAATTGGGTGATGATCGACATGAAAGCACCAACGATCATTCGTGGTTTCCGGACGCAAGTTGTCGCGAGGGTGGACGGCAACATTGCGTACACTTCAGCAGTCAGAATTCAATATACGGACGATCTGACGGACACCTTCAAGGATTATACGAACCCTGATGGCACACCAGTAGAGTTCAGGATACTGGACCCTACTCTCTCCGTCTTGAACTTGCCAGTGCCCATCGAAGCGCGTTACATAAGGTTTAGGATACAGGATTACGTGGGTGCGCCTTGTATGAAGCTCGAAATAATGGGATGCACTCGTCTGGAGTGTACTGACATCAACGAATGCGCCACCAACAACGGTGGCTGCCACCAGAAGTGCATCAACAACCCAGGCAGCTACGCCTGCATGTGCAATACGGGCTTCGAGTTGTACAAAACCAACGGGACGGCTGGCTTCAACGTCGAGAAGTACGAAACTGGTGAGAGGGATGGAGATATCTATCAGAAGAACAAGACTTGCGTACCAGTTATGTGCCCATCTATATCGGCACCTGAAAATGGAAAACTCTTGTCAACCAAGGTATGAATTTTGTACACGATCAAACCGACATTTTGGTAATTACTATTCCAATTATTTGTATAGGAACAACATCACTTCGGTGACTTAGTGAAATTCCAATGTAACTTCGGCTACGTGTTGTCCGGTTCATCTGCCGTCATCTGTACGTCCAGTGGAGCTTGGAATGGGACGACACCAGACTGTCAATGTGAGTAATTAGTTACTGTGCAAGTATCCAATACGTGGCGACGTGTCGTTAATGTTAAAAATATATTTCCAGATGCGAAGTGCGTGTCTCTACCAGACGACAAGAACGAGGGCCTATCGGTGATCCGCAGCGACGAGGCAAGTGTCCTGGTACCCTTCAAGCAAAACGTCACATTGAAGTGCGGCAGTAACGGACGTTACCTGCGGAACACAGCTAGCTCTGGCTTCCGTCAATGCGTCTACGATCCTAAACCAGGCTTGCCAGACTACTGGCTATCAGGATCGCAGCCAGCCTGTCCACGAGCTGACTGTGGAAAGCCTTTGCCAACGCCTGGGGCCGAGTACGGGCAGTATTTAGACACGAAATATCAATCATCATTCTTCTTTGGTTGCCAAGACACGTTCAAATTGGCTGGACAAACGAATCGTCACGACAATGTCGTTAGGTGCCAGGCGAATGGCATTTGGGACTTTGGCAATTTACGGTGCGAGGGTCCCGTTTGCGAAGACCCTGGTCGCCCGAGCGATGGCTACCAAATAGCCAGAAGCTACGAGCAAGGATCCGAAGTTCAGTTTGGTTGCAGTAGACCAGGGTACATTCTCATCAATCCCAGACCTATCGTTTGCGTTCGGGAACCAGAATGTAAAGTTGTGAAGCCCCTGGGATTAGCCTCTGGTCGCATTCCCGATTCTGCCATCAATGCGACCTCCGAGAGGCCGAACTATGAAGCTAAGAACGTTCGTTTGAACTCAGTGACAGGCTGGTGCGGCAAGCAAGAGGCGTTCACCTACGTCAGCGTCGATTTGGGCCAGGTATTCAGAGTGAAGGCGATCTTGGTGAAGGGTGTAGTGACGAATGATATCGTTGGAAGACCAACGGAGATCAGGTTCTTCTACAAGCAAGCCGAGGTTGAGAACTATGTGGTTTACTTCCCCAATTTCAACCTAACGATGAGGGATCCTGGGAACTACGGTGAATTGGCGATGATCACTCTGCCCAAATACGTGCAAGCGCGTTTCGTGATCTTGGGTATCGTCAGTTATATGGACAACGCTTGTCTGAAGTTCGAGTTGATGGGATGCGAAGAACCCGTGACGGAACCGTTGTTAGGTTACGATTATGGATTCTCCCCCTGCGTTGATAACGAGCCTCCAGTGTTCCAGAATTGTCCTCAACAACCAATAGTGGTACAGAAGGGAACCGATGGCGGGTTACTGCCAGTGAACTTCACCGAACCCACGGCTATCGATAACAGTGGTAGCATCGCTCGTCTAGAAGTCAAGCCTCACAGTTTCAGAACGCCTCTGCGAGTGTTCGAGGACACTGTAGTTAAATATGTGGCGTTTGATTATGACGGGAATGTCGCTATTTGCGAGATTAACATCACTGTACCTGGTCAGTATATAACCTCTTTTCACACTTCAATAAAATATATGTATTCCTCACTTTTGTGTAACCACATGATCATTTACAGACGTAACACCACCGAAGCTTAGCTGCCCGCAGAGTTACGTGATCGAGCTGATCGATAAACAGGAGAGTTACACTGTCAACTTCAACGAAACTCGAAGGCGAATCAACGCCACTGATCCTTCAGGCCCAGTGAAAATCACGTTTGTGCCAGAAAGAGCAGTGATACCGATTGGCAGTTTCGAAAACGTAACCGTTTATGCGACAGACCCAAGCGGTAACAGAGCGTCCTGCCATTTCCAAGTGTCCGTGCAGGCAACGCCATGCGTGGACTGGGAGTTGAAGCCACCGGCTAATGGAGGACTGAAATGCGTCCCTGGTGACAAAGGTCAACAGTGCATAGCAACTTGCAAGAACGGTTTCAGGTTTACGGATGGGGCACCTGTGAAGACGTTCACCTGTGACGTTACTAAGCATTGGTCTCCTGCATCAGTTGTTCCTGACTGTGTCTCAGAAAGTAAGCCTTCATTGTCCAGTACCAAATAAGAAGGGTTTCAAGTAAATGTTTTCAATAATTGTATGTTCTACTTAACAGACACCCAACAAGCAAACTACCATGTTGTTGCGGCGGTAACTTATCGCGCCAATGGAGCTGTTTCGAGATCCTGCCTGCCACAGTATCAGGATTTGATGTCCCAATACTACATGAACCTGAATAACATCCTTACTCAACGTTGTTCCGCTGTCAACGTGAACATGAACGTGTCGTTTGTAAGGTCCGTGCCGTACTTGCTCGAAGAAAATGTCTTGAAGGTCAGTACCCCGAACTAAACCTTACAGAATTTCACAAATGCACTCGTTGCACTCACTTTGCACTCATGATTTTTAGATGGACTTCGTTCTCGTCGTTGTTCCCGCTGTGCGTCAGCCTCAGCTGTACGATCTCTGCGGTTCCACGTTGAATTTGATCTTCGATCTGTCGGTTCCGTCTACTAGTGCAGTAATAGAGCCTCTGTTGAACGTTTCTTCGATTGGAAATCAGTGCCCACCACTTCGAGCACTGAAGTCATCTATCACGCGTGGCTTCACGTGTAGCATTGGTGAAGTATTAAACATGGACACCAACGACGTCCCTCGATGTTGTGAGTAAACAATTGAAGCTTCAAAAACTTTTCACTTGGTCATCACTTCCACAGAACATCACTTTTAACGAAACACATTCACTTGCAGTGCATTGTCCAGCTGGTACGTTCGCTGGTGAGAAGCAAAAGCAGTGCACGTCTTGTCCGAAAGGCTTCTATCAGAACAGCGATCGCCAGGGCTCCTGTCTGCGATGTCCATTCGGCACTTACACAAGAGAAGAGGGTTCGAAGAGCATAGACGATTGTATACCGGTTTGTGGGTACGGCACATATTCGCCCACTGGCCTGGTGCCATGTTTAGAGTGTCCGAGAAACAGCTACACCGGGGAACCACCGATCGGTGGCTGCAAGGACTGTCAGACCTGTCCAGCTGGAACGTTCACCTACCAGCCAGCTGCACCAGGTCGCGATCGATGTAGAGCAAAATGTTCTCCAGGAATGTACTCGGATACAGGACTCGCTCCGTGTGCTCAGTGTCCAAAGGATTTCTTCCAACCGCAGCACGGCGCGACGACGTGCGTCGAGTGTCCAACGAACATGTACACGGACGGACCAGGCGCACTTGGACGCGAAGAGTGCAAGCCTGTGCAATGCACTGACAGTGTCTGTCAGCATGGAGGCCTGTGCGTGCCCATGGGACATGGTGTTCAGTGTCTGTGTCCGGCTGGATTCTCCGGAAGGCGCTGTGAAATTGATATAGACGAGTGCGCATCTCAACCGTGTTATAATGGCGCTACTTGTATAGACTTGCCGCAGGGGTACAGGTGCCAATGCGCCAATGGGTACTCAGGAGTCAATTGCCAGGAAGAGAAGTCGGATTGCTCGAACGACACTTGTCCTGAAAGAGCGATGTGCAAAGACGAGCCTGGCTTCAGCAACTACACGTGTTTATGCAGGTCTGGATACACTGGAGTCGACTGTGACATCACTGTGAGTTTATTTTCGCTTCAAAGTATCTAGTGGCCTGAATGTTCGTAACGATAAATTCTAATTGCAGATTAATCCTTGCACGGCCAGCGGTAATCCTTGCAACAATGGTGCCACCTGTGTGGCTCTGCAACAAGGTCGATACAAGTGTGACTGTGTGCCAGGATGGGAAGGTCAGAGCTGTGAGATTAACACCGACGATTGTGCGGAGAAGCCCTGTCTGTTGGGAGCCAACTGCACTGATCTTGTGGCTGACTTCAGCTGCGACTGTCCTCCTGGATTCACTGGCAAACGATGCCATGAGAAGATAGATTTGTGTTCGGGCAATCCTTGCTTGAACGGGATTTGCGTGGATAACCTCTTCAGCCACGAGTGTATTTGTCACCCAGGATGGACTGGTTCAGCTTGCGAGACGAACATCAACGAATGCGCCAACAAACCGTGCCACAACAATGGTCAATGCATCGATCAAATAGACGGGTTTACTTGTACCTGTGAACCAGGATACACAGGCAAGCAATGTCAGCACACGATCGATGACTGTTCTTCGGAGCCCTGTCAGAACGGAGGAACATGCTTGGATCAGTTAGAGGGATTCCTCTGCAAGTGCAGGCCAGGATTCGTTGGACTTCAGTGCGAGGCAGAGCTGGACGAGTGTCTTAGTGATCCTTGCAGTCCAGTTGGAACGGACCGTTGCGTTGATCTGGATAACACGTTCGTGTGCCACTGTCGTGAAGGTTACACTGGTGCCGCGTGCGAGATTAACATCGACGATTGTAATTCTGGTCCTTGTTTGAATGGTGCTACGTGCAGAGACGAGGTTGGTGGATTCAAATGCGTGTGCCCAGAGGGCTGGACTGGTACCCACTGCGAAATCGACGTTGGAATGTGTCAAAATCATCCTTGCCAAAACGATGCTGCATGTGTTGACTTGTTCATGGATTACTTCTGCGTGTAAGTATTCTGACGACTACATGAATCGTTCAATGAATCCGTAGGATGGGACTTTGTTTATATTTTCCTAATAAATGTCGCCGTGTAGTTGTCCGTCTGGAACTGATGGAAAACAATGCGAAACTGCACCAGAGCGCTGCATTGGTAACCCATGCATGCATAATGGACGTTGCCAAGATTTTGGCTCGGGACTCAATTGCACATGCCCCGATGACTACACTGGAATTGGGTGTCAGTACGAATATGATGCCTGCCAGGCTGGTGCTTGCAAAAATGGAGCCACCTGTGTCGATGAGGGACCTGGATTCACTTGCATCTGTCCACCTGGATACACAGGTAGATTTACATAACAAATAAACCTGTATAGGTAACAGTGGTAATGAAATATAACCATATCCATGAATGTTCTCTAGGCAAGACTTGCGAGGATGACATCATCGACTGCAAAGAGAATTCGTGTCCTCCATCAGCAACATGCATCGATCTCACTGGCAAATTCTTCTGTCAATGTCCGTTCAACTTAACTGGCGATGATTGCAGAAAATGTAAGCTTGCAAAACGTCTCCTTTACAATTGATGACTGTTAAACTTTGAGTGAGACATAATTCATATAATTTTTGCAGCCATCCAAGTTGATTACGACTTGTACTTCAGTGATCCAGCGCGCAGCAGCGCCGCACAAGTGATTCCATTCTTCACAGGAACAAGAAAGAGCTTAACCGTGGCTATGTGGGTGCAGTACACCCAAAAAGATGAAGCTGGCATATTCTTCACCCTCTATGGCGTGAGGTAAATCCCAGTAGTATAAAAATTTGTATCACGATCTTTGGACTACGGTATCCTAATTGTAAATGATGGTTTGGTTACAGTTCGCCTCATGTTCCATCGAATCGCAGACTTATGATCCAAGCACACAGTAACGGTGTCCAAGTGTCTCTGTTCCATGACCTTCAAGACGTTTACCTGCCATTCAGAGAGTACGCGACAATCAACGACGGCCAATGGCATCACGTAGCTGTAGTTTGGAATGGCGAAAATGGCGGTGAACTGGTTCTGATCACCGAAGGACTGATTGCCAGTAAAACTGAAGGATATGGAAGTGGCAGATCTCTACCAGCTTAGTGAGTTCATTTTATATTATACAAATAAAGTTCAATGAACCTTAGGATTCCTCGAAGCAAACTAACACAATTTTTTTCAGTGCCTGGACTGTCCTTGGAAAACCACAGAGCGAGAACGCGAAGGGCTATACTGAATCCGGGTTCCAAGGTCACCTGACCAAGGTTCAAATCTGGAGTCGAGCTCTTCACGTAACCAATGAAATACAGAAACAAGTACGCGACTGTCGCACTGAACCTGTCCTGTATCAAGATTTGGTGTTGACCTGGGCAGGATACGATGAGATAACCGGTGGCGTGGAAAGAGTAGTGCCATCCCATTGTGGACAACGAGTCTGTCCACCCGGATACGGTGGCAACAAGTGCCAACAACTGGAATCTGACAAGATTCCACCGAAAGTCGAGCACTGCCCAGGAGACCTTTGGGTGATCGCCAAGAACGGTTCGTCTATTGTCACTTGGGACGAGCCACGTTTCACCGATAACGTTGGCATAGCGAGGGTTCAAGAGAAGAATGGACACAAATCTGGACAAACGTTGATGTGGGGCATCTATGATATCAGCTACGTGGCTTACGATCAGGCTGGAAATTCTGCTAGTTGCAACTTCAAAGTTTACGTCCTGTGTAAGTCATCCACTCTTGATGTTTAAATATTTAAAGCGTATTGTACAATATCGATCATGGTGATTTTTCATTCTTTAGCTGACTTTTGTCCGGAACTGGCTGATCCAATTGGAGGAACACAGCAATGCAAAGATTGGGGCTCTGGTGGCCAGTTCAAGGTGTGCGAAATCTTCTGCAACACTGGACTCAGATTTTCTCAAGAGGTGCCCAAATTCTATACCTGTGGCGCAGAAGGCTTCTGGAGACCCACCAATGACCCATCACTTCCCTTGGTGTATCCTGCTTGCACAAGTAATCTTCGATTCTATTTTTCTCATACTATGTTCTTGATAGGTAATTCTTTCACCGTGTTACAATTTCATTTGTGGCTTTGTACAGGTGCCACACCAGCTCAGCGTGTATTCAGGATCAAGATGAACTTCCCAACGTCAGTCCTGTGTAACGAAGCTGGTCAAGGAGTACTCAAGAAGAAGGTTCGAGATGCTGTGAACTCGCTGAACAGAGACTGGAACTTCTGTTCGTATTCCTTCGAAGGTAAATCACTTAAGTTTCACTAGATCTTCAATCTTAACGATTGCACGTTATTACACTTTTTCTTTTCCACAGGAACTCGCGAATGTAAAGATCTGAACATCGACGTTCAGTGCGACCACCGCGTACGCACGACCAGAGAAACGAACGAAGAAGATGGCGGAACATACATAATTTCCGCCGTAGTACCAGCAGAACCGTAAGTATCCCATACGTTTTTTGAATTACGCAACCGCATACGCTTCTCTAGTTTGAAAATTGCGTCTCACGAGTGAATCCCGGCGTTCATTTCGACGGGAGAATCACTCGGTTAGCTATCTAGCATTAGCTTGCAGTCAAGCTTCGATCAGACTTAAATCGAAGACGTAACTTAGTACTGAGCAATTTGTTACTTGTGTTGCATCGTAGAACGAGACAAGCGCGCCAAGGCAGCGATACCTACGAGGTGGAGATCTCGTTCCCAGCGATAAAGTAAGGACAGCTCGATTTACGCCACGTGCGAAACATATCATTATACATGTGTCCTTGTCATCCGGGTCTAGGTGTTATCCGACATCATCTCGCATTCTTATAAATCCATTTGCGACCATGATCATACCATATTAGACAGCAATGCATGAGGGGCATACGGAGAAAAGGAAAATGTGCTACTCCATCATAATCTTGCCGCGGTGATTTGGTCACTCATGGCTACTGAGACGGAGTTGTCTCTATCATACCGTTCTTCGAGCACGTCTCTGGCGCCATGAGCGGCCAATTAAGTTTGGCCCATTTGTAAACTTGAATCGATCGTGAACGTAACTTTTCTCCATATCCTTGTACTAGCAGAAACTTGAACAAGGCCGACTTCAGTAAGTTGATGAAATACCTCTTCGTGTAAAAGAGCAAAAATTAGGTCGACCCTAACCGATTGGTATGCACGTTGTTTACTAACTGTTCATACACGACCCACTAGTATAAAATGGGAAATGTCCATGCGGGTACTCGAGTAGGTACCAGCGATAGGATAGCGAAATAACAATAACGGCGTAACACCTGACTAGACACCAAGCTGTTGGGTTAATCTCATTTCGCAAGCATCGATGGACATTCCCATCCACGGAGCCCTCAGGGCAAATCATTTGCATGTGTTCGCGAATCCTCAACCCATTCCCTCTGATTCATACCAAGCAGTCCCAGATTCGCAATATAACAGAGGCTACAATGACACTTCGTGTCAGACATGTTATATATTAGAATTCCAGGAGGTCTTGAGCATTAAGCATTGCGTAGGTACATAATTAATAGGTGTCGATAAGGTTGCGTCTTGCTGAGGATCCGATGGAAAGGCTGCCTGGTTACCTTCGCCTTAAGATAACGGCTGTACATATTTGCGCATACTCTTCTTTATCTATCGCTGAAAACATACCGTCTATCGACTCTTAGTTTGCTAACAGCTCCCTGTCTTTTATAGCGATCCGATTTTGAACGCTAACTCGAACGAGAGAGCAACCGTTCAATCTCTACTGGAGAGACTAATCCTGGAGGAAGATCAATTCGACGTTCACTATATCCTGCCAAACACCGTGCCTGACCCGGCATCCCTGGTTCTTGAATCCGACTACGACTGTCCAGTGGGACAAGTTGTCATGGCACCAGATTGCGGTAAGTGTCTCAATGCAAGAGACGTTTTCTAACAGCAGAATTTCTGACTCTACTTACATTTCAATTGCAGTACCCTGCGCCGTGGGAACGTACTACGACGAAGAAACGAAGCAGTGCCTGTCCTGTCCAGTGGGCAGCTACCAAAGCGAGTCGGGCCAACTGAAGTGCAGTTCCTGCCCCGTGATAGCTGGGCGTCCTAGCGTGACAGTCGGTCCTGGTGCTAGAAGTGCAGCCGACTGTAAGGAACGTTGCCCGGCTGGAAAGTACTACGATGACATGGCTGGACTCTGTCGAAGCTGCGGCCACGGTTTCTACCAGCCCAACGAGGGTAGTTTCTCCTGTTTGCTGTGCGGTCTAGGGAAGACCACCAGGACATCAGAAGCGGTTTCCCGCGAAGAATGTAGAGACGAATGTGGCTCTGGACAGCAGTTGGCCGTCGAAGGAAAGTGCGAGCCTTGTCCACGTGGAAGTTACCGCACCCAAGGAGTTCAGGCCGCTTGTCAGGCATGTCCTGTTGGCAGAACCACGCCGAACATGGGATCAGCCGCTATCGAGGAATGCTCCCTTCCTGTCTGCGATCCTGGAACATATTTGAACGGAACGTTGAATGAGTGCATGGAGTGCAAGAAGGGAACGTATCAATCCGAGCCTCAGCAGACCTTCTGCATACCCTGTCCTCCCAACACCAGCACTAAAGGAACATCAGCCGTGAGTGTCCTCGTGGGATCTACTACTTGTTGATAATTTAATAGCATTCTTCTTCTTATACGTTAGGGTGATAACTGGTTTCTCTGTCCCAATTAGACGAACAAGGCTGACTGCACCAACCCGTGCGAAACTAGCGACGCTGAAATGCACTGCGACGCAAACGCGTACTGCCTGCTGATACCTGAAACGAGCGACTTCAAGTGCGAGTGCAAGCCAGGCTACAACGGGACCGGTACCGAGTGCACGGACGTCTGTATGGGATATTGCGACAACGAGGGGGTGTGCTTGAAGGACTCGCGGGGACAACCGTCCTGCAGATGCAGCGGCAGCTTCACCGGGAAGCGGTGCACTGAGAAATCAGAGTTTTTCTACATCACTGGCGGCATCGCTGGTGGGGTTATTCTAATAATCTTCGTCGTCCTATTGGTGTGGATGATCTGTGTCAGGTAAGTGTACCCCAGGTGTGCTTCTACAAAGGAGATATCGTTTCCAAACGTGAAGTAAAATTGTTCTTACAGAGCTTCCCGAAAGAAGGAACCCAAGAAGATGCTCACACCAGCTACTGATCAAAACGGCTCGCAAGTGAACTTCTATTATGGCGCGCCCACGCCTTACGCGGAGTCTATTGCGCCGTCCCATCACAGTACTTATGCACACTATTACGACGACGAAGAGGATGGCTGGGAGATGCCCAATTTTTACAATGAAACGTATATGAAAGGTACGAAGATGCACAGAGCTTCCACAAACTCAATAAAGAGGTTATGTTCCAAGACTCCCGATCGAATTTAACGAGGTTTATCTCCACACTTTTCAGAGAGTCTGCACAATGGTAAAATGAACAGTCTCGCTCGTTCCAACGCGAGTATATACGGCACAAAAGACGACCTATACGACAGACTGAAGCGTCATGCCTACCCTGGCAAGAAAGGTTAGTAGATTTTTTTAATAAAAAATCAGACTATCTGCTAATCCGAAAAACATCCCTATCCTATCCTCGCTAAAATTTAAAGACTCTATTCACCCGATATGACTGGTCCCTGGGAACATAAGTGTCCCGCGTATGGTGTACGATCAACATCCACGATCTTAGCATCGAAAGAATTAATCCTTTCGCTGCTAAGGCCGTATGCATACGGCCTGAATAAGCTTACGGTCATTTGCGAAGAACGTATACGTACGTCCTCCACAAGCGACGACCATTTTCTAAAGGATGTATAGATCAGAGTTGGCCATCTCTCTATCTAGACAGAATAGTTGATCTAGGTAGAGTTTCACTCGAAGTCGTTCGATTAATGGCGAACTCTGGTCTAGATACATCTGTTAATTACTTCGATCTACTATCTTTATCTTTTTATTCAGTTGATAGGATGTCGTTGTCGACAGTACATATGACGTAACATTGCCCGAAGCAATCGAATACCCCGCGAAATATACGAGAATTTCTGCAGTCGTACGCTGTTCTCCTGCCGCGCAGCGTGAAAACGCGGCGAAAGGGTTAATACGCCCCATCTCAGGGATAAGTTGAATTGGACACCTGGTATATTAAAGAAATGAACACCGACATTTTTGCAGACAAAAGCGACAGTGATAGCGAGGGCCAGTGACCGCGAAGAGCAACGACGTTCTGCCAAGCGTAGAATGTAAGATAAACACTGTCGACGTCCCTGACGCACCAGCAACGGGGAATGTTGCTCCATCGTCGCAAATCCAATAATTATTTATTATCCCCGAGACGAAGATCTGTACCAGTGGCGCGTACATCGGAGACTCGCGGACGTTTGTCGAACTGAATCCGTGTCGAACCCCCGCGAGGGTCTCCCTGGACTTAACGCTCGACGAGCGTGAAAAGATGGCGGCGGTGCGTTAATCGACGGTGAAGCAATCGAGTCCTGGAACGACGATCCAATTCGATCGTTGTTTCGGCACCCGAGAGTCGATAAACGATAACCACGGATTTAAAAGAAAGAAAAAAATAATAAAATGAAAGACTACGCGTGAGGTTGTAATTTTTTGTAATTTAATACCACCTAGCCGTTAAGGACTATTCTATATTAATTAACTTCTATGATTAACGGTGCGAACGAGAGGAACCTGTGTGTGCATGTATGTTAAGACACCTATACATAAGCGAATTTATATTTTGTTACGATAGATATGTATCACACGCTGTAAAATAATGCCACGTAGGCGCGAAATGCAACTGACGGAAAGAAAGAAAAATCTAGTGATCGAATTTTTAGCCCAGTGTATGGGCGAATCGAAGTTAAGTTGGCCGGTCAAGGTCACCGAGAAGCCCTCACTCTCGTCTCTTCTGACGCGAATTGGCAGTGTGACCCCAAGCAGTCAATCGAATTTTCGATGCAACTATAGTCAGAATTTCAAGGGAAATTAAAATCAGCAACGATTCGGGAGCTAATGTACATTCGAATATGCCTACGACGCTGTTTTCCACTTTGTATTGTAAAAACTTTAACAAACGGTTGTTTTCTTTTTTTTTTATTAATAAAATGTATTTCGATAATAAGTTCGTTCAACGCTGACCTCGAGCGGATTTGAAATGCCGTTTTTTATCCAAGACAACCACGTCCTTTAGTTTAGATATTTTCTTATCGATCCTTATCGGAATAACTCTGTACATCTTCTCTTCGAATTCAAAATCATTCGTAGCATTATAGCTAATGTTCGAAGGTAAGTGCTTTTTGGTTTCGTTTACGTGAACGTCGAAGAATTTATTTAATAAAAATTTAATGTCTGAATTTTGTCCTGGTTCGTTTGTCTCTGGGCAAATGGGAGAGTCCTCTTCAGGGTCAGTGTCTGATTCGTCAGAGCTGATAAAATAGTCCGAATCTACGGAATTTCTGGAATCCATTCCATTTGTCATTATTTTCAAGAGTAACTGGAAAATTTCACCCATTCGTTACTTGCATTATTATTTTGCGATAATTATTGCATTACCTCGATGCGATCCTTCAAGTCCATAGAATTATTATTATCCATCACTCTGTTCTATTTCTGATTAATTAATTTATATTTTGTAAGTGTCTGTACGTCTTTAATTTGACTAAAAGACAGGCATCTCTTTTTTTTTATTAATAAATTAAATAGTAAACGACATTTTGTCGAGCTCTTATTGTTTGATCGATACCATCCGTTCCTGTTTCGTTATGTCGAATTCATAGTTCCATTTTGACTTACCTAACCGTGAAACTTATAGTTTGGAACGTAAAACGTCAAAAAGAATCAGGGGTAATAAGTTATTACGCCCGAAGCCTGCTAACATAATCAAGACAGTGCTGAGTCATACATCGAACGCGATAAATTATGCTGATTTTATATGAGATTATTAAACTGATGAGGTATTCGGAACGTATAGCTATTTTTACAGAATATTACTCATACAGTTCGAAAAACCAGTAGTAGCTGATGCAACAAGTTCCAAGTGTTAGAGTACTATGTACCTAAATGGGAGAAGATATACTATACAGTTTACGCGATACTCGATCCATACACTAGCTCCATCTAGGATCACGTCACGCGCAATTCTTTTCAGCAGCGATGCACCCAAGCGATAATACCACGCGATGCATTATTAATGCAGCAAACCCTGAATTCCACACAATCCGCAAAAAAGAAACATGTTGCATTCGTCAGTAATCAATATACCGTCACGTAATCCTTTATCGCTCTAACGTCCTTGTGGTAAATATACATTTCAACGTATAACGAATTCCACTCGCATATACTGCAATTCTCGATAGCGCCCCAATACGTATATTTTTGTTACATTATCGATTTTACTTAGAATACTTACTTATCTTAATTACAATTCTTTTTACGTAGAACCCAAAATGTTTTTCTTTTTTTAATCATAAATTCGCTTGGTAATCCTACTTTATTCGTACGCACATTCGAATTTTGCCGCGTTTCAAACAGATGGCGCGGCAAGTTGACCAAAGAAAGATGCCTGAAGGTATTCACGGAGGTCGTTTCCCTCGTACTCTGTGCTTCTCAACCTTTTTTTTTTTAAATTGTGGTCTCTAAACTTTATCTATCTCTGTAGCCTCCACCTCTTAAATAAACTTATTCTCTGTGTTCTCGAAAAAAGAAACGTGTAAATGGAAACCTAGTTTTTTCGTTTTCAGTTATTCTTCGTTCACCATCGAACGTTTTCGCTTGTAATTTTGTTTTATATATTTCATTTTCATTTCGCACGTGTCTATCATCAAACCTATCGTCTTGTTTTTGTTTTCAGCTACTTTACATGGGTTTTTTTAGATCATTTCAATATCTTTTATATCGTTTCCTTCTCTTTCGAATCCTATCAAGTAATAGTCGGAGCGTATTGCGTGGCAAATTCGTCGTCCACTGATTTTTGTGACTCATTCGTGGCTCCCTAAAAACGCAGCGTTGGTAGGCGTAACACATTGCAGATTGTACTATAAAGAAAACGTCTGACCAAAGCTTCGATAAAACGAGGTCAACAATAAATTACAAAGTTGATACTTATCAGATTATATATGTCTTATTCCTAAATAACTAAACCGAGTTTTAAGTATTCCTCTTCTGTTACGTAATTTCTTTGTTTCATTCCTTTATCCCGGTAAAATGAGCCTGAATTTGAACCTATCTTCCAAATTTCATTTTGTCTAGGCTCCATGGATTGCTCATTGCCGAGGGATCTTCGTGACCCTCGTTGAGAACGTCTGCTCCGTATCGTCCTTCAAGTCCGTGTTGGTGGCGTGTCAGATTCTGCTCACAGAGCGTCTACGCTGCGTCGATTGGTCGACGATGACGCCAGGCGTCTCCGATTGGCCGAAAATGACGCAGCACGTACACGAGTAGCGTGACCAGCCGAGTGCGCGTGAGTGCGATCTCGTGACGTGTTCAATCCGGCACTGACGACGTTCCAGACTCGCATTCCGCGAAGAAGATCCGACGAGTTAGTGTGGAAGATCAGTGCTGCGTCCACGTTTCGAGAATCCGCTCCTATAGAAAGCACGTTTGTGAACGAATAAACGATCGTGTCGCATCAAGAAGTTTTCGCATTCCAAGTGGAAGGTACAATACCACGGATTGTTTCAAGGAGGGTAAGTGAAAATATCCCCAACGTGAAAATGTGCACCCGTCGTGTCCCTGTACCTATGTATGGTTCCACTCGCGACTATAACTAAATTGGTTATATAACCATAGAACCGAGTTTAATTCCGTCGTTTGTCGAAGTAGCTGGCAATGCACGAAAATTTCACTGCGCATCGTGGCGTGGATCGATCAAACGTCGCACGACCACGAGTTACATATAGACATGTATTTTCGTATCATTCGAACATAGTAATAACAGACGTTTTTCGCGTCGTTATATAAATCTTAAACGCAGGATCGCTTTCGGGATAGTTTCAACGGTTTTCTGCGCAAATTTACTCGTCGATCCGAACGTATGGTGTAACGTATGTAAGCCGGTTTGCAAAAATTTCGTCGCGCGCCTGTAATGCTGCGCGTTATGTAACTAGGTTAGATAGCGACGTATAGTTACGTTCATGTACAATCAACGTTTTATTCGAATAACAGATAACGACTAAAAGCGCCGCACAGCGATCTACACGGCCACGTTTATTACATTGAAGTTCCGATAAGATTTGTTAACCGTGAGATGTAAAGTCATTTGATAATTGATACTGTAACTTTTATGAAACTGATTGTTTACCTTTTATTAATTTTAAAATACCTGGCTATCTTCGACTTACGATTACCGACGTATGCGCGGTCGCTTTCCCGATCGATAAGAAACATTCAAACGCGGACGATTGCTCGATAAAACGTGGTCACTGCGTTTACGTACACGGTATTTGTAGTCACTGATGAGACTGATACCACTCGTATCGATGATAATCGGACCAATTCGATTTCGAATTCGTTAATTCGAAATTTTACCGATGTATATTTTCGATACCACAATGCGTCATACAAAGTTGCGAAATTTTACGTGGCTACTTGATAATATCAACTATCGATAATTATATTTTTGTAATGAAATCTTGGTCGATATCAGTACCACGTAACCGTTTCTAAACTTTCTAGAACTCTTTACACTATCATTAAATCCCATCACTAATGATTAAGGACCACACAGGTTCTAGATATACCCAATATCTCTATATCTAAATATTCTTTGTACATGTTGTACGTTTAAATGAATATTGTGTTGTAGGAAGAAACTACTTTTTTGATGCATCGAATAACGTATCTGGTAAAACCTTATCTTCATATTTTATGTTTCAGATTTATTTAATTTTTTAAGCAACCAGTTGCCTCGATATGGTATAATTTCCATGTGACTCTTAATGTATTGTACAATTGATCTACATAAATCTTGTTTTCCAATAAACATTTTATCTATATTACACTTAATCCTGACTGTAGTCGATAAGAGTCTTAGCGACATTCTTAATAGTATCGATATGATCTCTTTAATATATGGTGTATTATCTTTTCTGATAAATACAAATGCCGTTATCATGATTAATTAGCATTCATCTTATTGGTAAATAATCAAATTTGATAAGAAGGCATTATTTGTATTTCTTTTATCTATACCAGTAAATGTTCAGATGAAATGTAAATACACATTTTGGCGTTAATTGGCATTTCTTGTGTCTGAAATCATAATTTTTCTTATAGGTATCCAAAATCCCTCCTATTTACGAACGCTCAACGGCCAGCAACATTTCATTTGAGAAGAGAGGCGTGTTTAACGTAAGTGACGTCGAACAAGAATTCTTTTAAAGAAAAGAGTCCCGTAAAATTGTTCAACGCTAATAATAATTTACAGGTAACCAAGCCATGCAACAGTCAGCCGCATCCGTCATCTGCTTTTCGTGGCGTGAGATTGGGGCCGCCGGAAGAAGAAACTTCAAAAATGGACACAGTCCCCTTGTTGTCTCCAACTATGGAGACGGAATTGCTAAAGGAACCATGGATATTTCCACAATCAAAATTGGCGATAAAAGAAGAGAAGAAACCAACGTCCTCCATTTGGGAGGAAAACTTTCAGGATTTAAGCAGTTGGTGTATGGATACGTTCCAGGGTCAATGCGATTTTCGCATAGGTGAATCACCTACATTTAAACTATCAGGTTGGTAAGAATACGTTCAATCGCTAATTAACGATGCAAGAGTCGTTTTTCATTTTACTTTAATCGCATTTACCAGGTACGAAATACGAGGGTAATAGTGCTTTGGCTTCGGAAGAGGGGGTATTGAACGATTTGATGAGTGTGGGGGATGAGGACAAGTGGAGCATAAAAATGAATACAAACGAGCATACCAACAGTAATTGTCACAGCTTACAATCTACATTAAAAGTAAATAGCAAGTACGAGAAGAAAGATAGCATCGTGAAGTCTAATACATCCGATTTGTGGTTGAGGCCACCTAAAGAAACACCTACTGTAACGCCCACGATAAGTGCGACATCATGGAACAAACAGTGTAACACAGATGCTAGTATACCATTCCAACCCGGTTGCGAAGATTCAGATGACATCCACTTGGATGATGCGTGTCCTACTTCTTTCGGTTCTACTGAAACTCCACGTGAAACATGGGACGTCCTGCAAACAGTCGAAACCATTGGATCGGAGTCGTTTGATTTGTTGTCATACCTATGCGATGTAAGTTGATGGATATTCTGTAAAAATAGAAATCCAAAAAGTGGCGTATCCGAGACAGATTTAATATTATAAAATGTATGCATTACAGGATGAGATAAATTCTCCAGACGGTAGCGTTTCGACGGATTCATCGATGGTGTCGTCCCTCACCAAATCATCCACAACCGTTTCACAGACATACGAAGAAGCGAGAATAGATAACAACGAGTCAGACACACAAAGTCGGACAGCGCGAAGTTTAAATTCGTCTTACATAGATACGCCCGCGGTGTCTTCGCGAAGATCCGAAAGAAAAAGGACATCCGTTACGAGCAAAGCTGAGAAATCGTACAATAGACCAGTGAAACGTTTGAAATCGGAAAGGAGGCGCGTCGAGATCGATTCGAGCGAACGAGTATTCGCTTCGCAGTATCGAGAGTCCAGGGAAAAGAATAACGAAGCTTCGCGAAAGTCGCGTATGAACAAGAAAGCAAAAGAGTGCGAGATGACGATGAAAGCGATGGAGTTGGAAAGAGATAATAGAGTATTGAAAATGAAAGTCGAGGAACTCGAGAAACTCGTGACATCAATGCGCAGTGCGTTATTGAGGTCTGCTTTAAAGAAAGACGTTTGAATGTTTTAATTGTCGATCTTTGAACATTCATTATGCGGTAGACGCCACGTAAAGTGACTGTTCTTCTCAGTTTTTTCATTATTATTATTATTATTTTTTTTTTTTTTTTTTTTTTTTAAATAATGGGGTTTGCGATTTGACGAAAGAAGTCACTTGAAGCATTATTTTCTAGACCTTTACACGATTTATTTATGAAATTTAATAGTATCGTCATAAAAAGTAGTTATTGAATTTTGATTATGCGTAGGAAATAATCTTTCAATGGAAAAAAGTGTATTTCTTGACGTTTTATGTATCTGTTTGTTGCACAATGTTTGCGTTTATAAGTTTTTCAAAGAGATTTTAATTACGATATTTTATAATATAATGGAACGTATTTTATCCACGTTATCGAAGAAACGAATACGAGATATATAATATATTATATTATATATAAGGCAGAAAAAAAAAGTGGGAATTGTTGTGAGCGTATCCTTTTAAGAGTTTATCAAGAACAAGATTACATAATCATATTTTGTTCAGCCTTGTATTGTACCTGATAAAAAAGTATAAATATAGAGGTTCGAACAAGATAAACTATGATTGGTGAGAGTATAATTTTCTACTGGCATGGGCACAATAGTGGCATGATGTACAATAATATTCGAATAAAGAATTTGCTTCGAAATTTACCTCATACTAGAGAGAATTATTTTTGTAGATTAAAGGTACGGCCTGTTTGACTTGAACATCAAATATATACATCAGACTTTGAACGACAAACGCATTTATTCGAATTTAGTGATTCTACAGGACTTGAGTGCAAACAAGTCTAAATTAACAATACGCTATGTATTCACTGCTTGAAACAATGCAGTGAATTTCAAACTTAGTTTCCAGCATATGCACAGCAAAACTATGCACATGGAAAAGAAATTGTTAGCATCTGGAACACTATTTGAAATACTCACTGATACAAATTCAACAAATAATAGAAAAATGCAATATTACATCACTGCGTTGTAAATATTGTGGCAATATTTTTGCTTTCGGCTTTGAAAATACTAGTACTTCCGATAATATTACCGCTAAGTCTCCTAATCGTTAGGTACAGGCTCAAATTACCAAATTACCAGTTATCAAATTATAAATATTGCCCATATCGTACTTAAAAATGAAAATTATTCCTTTAGAGGTATAAGTAACAACCACATAATGTATACGTGCAATGTTACATTTTTATTTCTTGTACTCTCAAAATGTGTACATTTCGATTATACGAAGAGTGATGTAGACTTAACCAAATGTCTATTTTTTATAATGTTGGTGCAATGTTTGTAAAATTTTGTTGGTATTTCATATATGTTTCCTAACATAGTCTCTGGTTGATGATTATATTTTAAGCTATGAAAATCGAGCTTATTATATATGTTGAGAATTTATCATTTACATTGTGAAATGTATATTATAAAATCAATGAATGTAACATGGTTATTAATAAATTAATGCAATTGCATCATTTAGAATTTGCGTTTTGATATAAGTGTTTGTACGATTTCACATTACAAAATGTTGAAATGATAGATGCGAATATGTTTATAATTAATCAATGTAAAACCAATACGATTTCAATTCAGCGCATCTGTTACCGTTACTGAAAGTCTTTTAAACTGTGCATGCATATTGTGATCAGAAAGATACACAAACAATAGTATCGAGAGAAATGTAGTAAGAAAATGATTGGACTCACAAATATTCCTGACGATAGAAGGCAGTAGCTGAAGAATGAGCTTACAGAATAACGATGCCATCACATTATCAGAGCACAAGCATTCATCATTCAGCATTCGTTCAGAAACATACAGCATGCAAACGTTCATCTGCTGCACGCCTCGCATTCACGGTTATAGTACACTCGAAGCGATGAATACTCTCAAGAAATGGCTAATCATACAATCAAACATTCAGAGTTAAATCAACTAAGACTATAAATACGTTTAAACAGTGTATACTAACGTAAATGTCGAAAATTGCCTGCCGAGAGCCGTTGAACACGTTCCTCTTCAAACCGGCCGGACGCCATTGCTACTGCGCGGTAGCTGGCGGTAACAGGCAGATGCGCGCGCAGCTTTGGCGCGACATTCATATAAATCAAACAATCATCTTCGTTTATTTCGATACAGAAACCTTACACTGCAAATGAAATACATCTTCATTTACATTGATACGAAAAGTACATACTGGAGCTTATTCTACAAATTCGTAGGCTACATCGCTATAAAAGTTTCAAGCATATTTCAAACTGACTTATTTAAACTGAATTACTACCGTAATTATTTTCGTGCGGCAGAGGAGTGGCTGCGCGCGCAGCCTGAACGGCCGCCGTTTCATGAAAGCCGGCACAGTACATTGGTAACAGGTGGTCCACGTTGATTGGTCGAGCGACGGGAATCGAAGAAGTCCCCTTCGACAGCACGTGCGGCCGGTGGCGCATTTACACGGCGGACGTGAACGCGCGCGTATCGCTCCGTCTTCTCATCACGGAAGTCCACCTTACCGATCGAAGGTCAGCGACGAAGCTGCTGTCGAAAGCTTACATTGCGAGCTTGCTTCCGTGAGCGCGAAACCTTCCCTATTGGTGGCCCGATACGTTCGTAGGTGCACGGGTGTTGGCTATCGATCCCTGCTGTCCCGATTTCCTGCATGTTCATTGGCGCCTCGGTTGCTAACAGTGCGTCGTATGGTACAGTGCGGGCTCCGTTCGATCAGTGGTGTGGCCTTACTGTTACGCTTAAGATATTTGTGCAATTATACTCGTTTCCACGGGGTGATTTTCTCCCGTTCCACGTTGGACCGAAAGTGTACACCATAAACATCCTTCGCAGGTATGTAACGCCGATCAATGCCCCTTTCTTTCGCGATTTATTTTTAAATTAACGCTATCGCCGCGAAGCATACTGCAATCGAGTGCACGTGCACGCGCATGCATCTAACAAGTCGGTCACATTGAGCCGGTGCTCCGTTCCATCTGGTGCGTTTCGATTGCATCCGATGGATTTATTATCGCAAGGAGGGGCGAACTCTTTGCAAATCCGCCAGAAACAATCCGTACAAACTTTATTCCATCGTCTTTTCGTGAAATTTGTTTAGGCATGACGACAACCGCGGGCAGAATTTCATTCGAATAGAGCAACAAAACCCACGCGTACTGACTTATTTTCGACATTTATTCGGTACTACAGATACATTTTTAACACTTTATTACATTCTATAGTCAATGTTTTATTTTTGAGCAAAGAATAATGGACAGATAGGTGTTTTTTTATTTGTTACTCCAAATTTCCACCTGTATTCGCGTCTTTACTTAAAAAGTTAGGATCTAGTACTGGAATATTCATTGGAGTATCAAACATCTTGGTCATTTAAGAAAATTACTTAAAATATGTTACTGGTAAATAGCGCTCCGTATCTAAACAGTTTGTTTAGAAAATATTACATTTGTTCGATCGTTTTTAATTAAATTTCCAGTCATCAGCGGTGCAATAAACGCCAATTGAAATTCTTGACATAATTTTCGGAGGGTTTTGCATTTCTGATGGAAATGCTTTTCGTGTCGAGCTGCAGGGTATCGCGTAGACTTTTAACGCGAATGTGAAACTAACCGTTGACGATGATACCGGCTGCGTTATGTAGAAGCCAAATGCGGGTAGGGGAACATGTATTGCATTCAGGTTTGGAACGTTGTTTCGCAGTTAAGGGCCGTTCACGCGACCGGAATCGCGTCGCTACAGATAAACACTCGTCGATAGCGAGAAATGTTTAAACTATTATCACGAACAATGACGCAGTTGGGTTTTTCAAATGCATTTGAATATATTCATTATTATCCAAATGTTTCGATACGCGCGACATAAATATTTGACTAATGACCGACGTATGAAATAATTAGAAAACTATAATTTGCTTCCAAATAAATTGATGTTTTCGAATAAAATTATGATCGATGCCTGCAAGTTGGGAAAACAAAATTAATACGTACAATTACGCGTCGTAAATGTTTATCTAACGAGGGTCGTACGAAATAATTAGAAAAATTTAATTAGTTTCCTAACGAGTTGGTGTTTTTAAATAAAATTATGATCGATGCCTGGTCAGTTCGTAGACAAAATTGATAGGTACAGTTGTTTAACATATTTTACTTTACGTAGTCAGATAATAATTTTTCTCTATTACTTATTTTTATTACGCGAAGAATATGATTTTTGGGTGGTGTAATGAATATTTGGGATTTTGAAGATAAGTAGAGATCACGTCCTTGTGGCATCATGTATCAGTGACGTATACAGGATGACCCCCGATGAGAGCTGTAATCGAGGAGATAATTCTACGTCCAAAACTAAGTCGAAAACGTGCAATAACATTTTTTCCTGCGAGACTTTATTCTCGAAGAAATTGTCGATGAAACTATTCGAGGCACGCGTGTTTTACTATAACTCGATCTAACGAATAAGCGCTAATTACGCATGTTTACAATGTAAAAGTGACCGTTTATGATCCGAAATACTATTAACTTTCTACGTGAACACAATTGGAGCGCGAATATCGATTCGCGCACGCCCCACGCATCTTCAAAATTTATTTTCTTGAAAACAGAGCCCTGTACAAAGAAAATCAATTCTACGTTTTCGACTTATTTTTACACTTATTAGCCACAGGATTTATTACAAAATTTTACGAATGGGTTTCGATCGTGGTAATCGAAAGCAGAAGGTCAGGTGCATTTATTTGCGACCGTAAAGGTACTTTAGTCGAGCCCATAAACCGTAGAGCCATTTTATTTCCTTTCACGATTCGTAGATTATTGCGAGATATTTACCTTTCTCTGCAGTCACACTAATGTATAAAAAAATGTCACTAGTTCTTATCTCGATCACGCTGACATGGAAGATGAGTTTCGAAGCTCATGGACACGCGAACGTCGATACGAATTATGGCTGGAACTATTTTTAAAATATTTGTTTTAGTTCTGGTATTTTAATACCCATAAAATATCGAAATATAAAATTATATTCGTAGCCAAGATACGAAACAGTACGACTATCGACATCGATAGTTTGCCGTGTTTTCGTGGACATAAATTTTCTGTGAGATACCGGTTTCAAATTCATACCGTCGCTCAAGAATCTTCTGCCGAGCGAAAGGTCGGCTCGCGCGAAAGGCGTCCGTGTTAATTTGCATGAAAGTGAAGCGCGACGAAAAATCGCCTAAGACCGCACGAAATCTCTCTGTGCAACATTTAGCGAGTATTTTCGAGAGACACGCTCGGCTGATACTCGTAGCTGCTGATAATACCTTGGAATTGGGCGAACACCGCGCGCAAATATTTGGCGATTTGCTGTAAGACTTTGGAAGCTTTCTGTACAATTTTATTACTTTGCTAACTGAATGCTTCTTCGGATAGATATTGCTGGAGTTTTTTCTGTTCACGAATCACTTTCTTCACATTTCATTTCCAAGTACTCGATTCTCCGAGGGTAAAAAGAGTTTTTGGGATTAAATCTAAGAGTAAAAGTAAGTCGAAAGGTTCGGATGAGTTTTTCCGGTACGAGGCTTCGTTCTAGAGAGAATTGAATTTGAAACCGTTTTGGGGCACCATTTCCAAGTCAATTTTCTCGAAAACTAAGCTTCGCAGAAGGAAACTCATTGCACGTTTTCGACCTGCTTTTACACGAAGAATGAATTTTTCTGTTACAAAGCTTCGTTTTCGAGAGAATTGAATTTGAAACCGTTTTGGGGTACCATTTCGAAGTCAATTTTCTCGAAAACTAAGCTTCACAGAAGGAAACTCATTGCACGTTTTCGACTGGTTTTTACACGAAGAATGAATTTTTCCTTTAGATGAATTTTTCAAGTACGATGCTCCGTTTTCAAGGGAATCAGATTTGAAATCGTTTTGGGGTACCACTTCGAAGTCAATTTTCTCGAAAACTGAGCTTCGAAGAAGGAAACTCATTGCACGTTTTCGACCTGTTTTTACGCGAAGAATGACCTTCAGGCTGTTCCACGAGAACCACCCGTTAGATGTCCGATAGCGTGCTTAACCCATAGAGACAGGTCCATTGATCTTGTTACAGCGCGCTGCGTCCTGCAATGTATTCGTAATCGTGCATCGCGCCATCGTGGAACAACAGATGGTGTTAAATGTCAAACCGTACGCGTAATTTGCATTCCCCTCGAGTTCGTGTCAGAAATGGGGAAAATTTTATTTGAACAACAGATAACGAATGAAATCAAACTAGGTTTTGTTTTCGCAGTTGTCGTCCACTTGAATCGACGACCACTAGAGCTGAAGAAACGTAAACAATGGCGGGGATCCAAGCATGAAATTTAATGAATATTCGAGCCATTACTGTATACAGAATATTATTATTACAGAATAATTTTTAATATAGGATAGTGGTTATTTTTGAAAATAGCGTAAAAAGGATGTTTACTGTTGCTCCAAACAAAAGTACATTATACCGTCCCAACGAGTTATTTATAGTGAAAGGGATCGACGGGCAGATCTCTCGCGCAAAATTGTCTGTCAACGGAGACGTCTCCAAGATTAATTATCGCGTTCGTTTGCTCAGTATCAAGACGGTGGCTCTCGTCTCTGTATTCCAACGGTTCCACGAAACGTCCCTGATCCCAAGTTCTTGTATTCAAAGTTTTTTTATTCGAGTACCATTCTCGCAGTATTTCAATGTTCTACAATACTTTACTGAACGCATGTGTTAGTTTATTAAATGTTATCCACTGTTGGTATTCACGTTATATGAAGTTGTCCCAAAAGTGTCATTTGCAGTTTTTACATAAATAAACAATCTTATCTTTCAGAAGTTAACGTTATCCTTTTCAGTAATCTTTTAATTATCACGAAGAACATTTCGTTCACATTGAAGATTCAGACCATTTTGTGGTCCTTTTAATATGCGAAATAAAAAAAAGCCTTCACGAGCAGTAATGTTGCATTATTTTAAAAGTTTTAGTTGTGTGAGTGATATAAAAATACACTCGGAAGGACGTTTTGCTAGCAAACGACACAATTTTTGGAAAATTGGAATGATCGTGTAGGACTCAGTAACATAATCTCAAATATAAAATCCTGCATCCTCCATATCCTGCATACCGTCAGTGTAATAAGTAGACTGCGGATCTTTATGCAAAATAAAATCTTCGCGAATGTGGCTACAAAAATTGAACCTAAATAGGAATTTATTCTATTCTGCGAATTTTATAGCATGAACTTTACTTTCGATCTTTTTTATATTCTTGTATATTGTTTGCATTTTGTAGGTTCTTGCGCATTCAAATTTCCTATAAATGCATAAAGATCCGCAGTCTAGTAATAAGTGTTCGTACAGAAACCAATTCAAAATAAAACTTTATGTATTTATTTTATTAATAAATTTTCAGGGAAGAAACAATTAACCAACATTCCTACATATTTTTAGAGTAGAATTTGCGTAAATTGAAGTTTTAAATTAACTTTTAATGTTAGCTTCTCATTTCTTTTCTCATTAATTTTATTTTAAATTGGTTGCTGTACGAATACTTATTACACTGACTGCATATACATTACTAATAAAAGTAAAGAAATTTTTGGGCCAACCCAACGATATTACAGCGTAACTACCAAATGTTTATTACGGAATTCTGTTTAGATCGTATCCGTGAACAATGGATAGACGAGGCGAGATCGCGTCAGCGTTCTGATGATCTTTAACTCCCATGGGCAGACAGTGCGATCCATCGACCGGCAGCAGAACCACTAGGAAAGACCAAGGAAGCCTATCATGGAATTCTACGACGTGGGAACCAGCGACCTTAGGGAGTTGTGGGAGTCTTACCTCTCCGAGACGGTGAGTACCGTAAAACTTCTGTGTTCGCTTCTCGTTCCCGCCGAATAAACGCGACGTTACACCGTTTCTCTCGCGCCATCTTCATTCCCATCGTGAAAGTGCTAGTTTTCGATCGGCCCAACGAAAGGAAACGACGCTCCGCGGGCGTTGGAAAAATGGACAACACTGCAATTGTTCCCCTTGGCGTCCATTGTTCTTCCAAGGGACTCGCTATTCAATTCCGGAGTTGGAATTACACGTTGAATTTTTTTCTCTAGTCGAATAATCGCCTTGGAGTTTTCTTCGGGAGTCAATTTTTCCTTCAGTGGAATTCTCCATCTTGTCTCATTCGATCGTTTATATATTAATTACACATCGAAGAGTAATCATGGCGACGGTGATTCTCGTATCGCGGGGAACCTTTGTGTGGTCTTTGATAAAATTCGATACCACGTGTGTCGCAATTTCGTAACCCACCTAATTAAACATCGTACCAGCAGCCATAGTAACAGCGAAACGTTCGCTACAATTATTTTCGAAAGAGGCACGTGCGTTACCTGCGCCCCGAGCTCTCCTCCATTACGGTTCAGTTACGCTCGGCAAACACAACGAAACGAACATTCTTCAAGTCTGTACCAAGTATTCATCTGCTGTAACCATGGGAGAAGTCCAGCGCTCGAGCGTAAACGCTCCGCGTATTAGCGTCAGTTTATTCACCTGTATAAACAAACGTCGTCTAAAGGAGGCCTACATTGCCATCTCTTAACCATCGAGGAACCACGCGTGTAGTACAAGGGTTACGCTCGGTAATTAACGCATTTCAGAAGTGTGTTGATAATAATTATCAACGCTTATAAATGTGCCTGAGAAATCGTAGTTGAACGTAAATCTTGTAGTAGGATGTTCTCGTTGACTTTGTTGTTAAACTATCGACACGTTTGAGTGCTTTCATGATTGTCAACACATGTAATTATTTAAGAATTAAGAGGCATAGAAGGTACGAAGACTTATGGGAGTATACTGACATTTTCTTGGAATGTTTGTATGATGGCCATTAAAGTCTAAATTGAATGATGGGTTAGATGTTCCTAAATAAATTATTTGTTATAAATATATACACGAGTAAGATTTATTTATGTACATATTTATAACGAAATATTGATTTAGGACCATCGTACCTATCATTTAATTTGGACTCATTTCTTCAATAAACATAAAGCAGAACATATAACTGCATGGGTGTATCAACTATTTAATTAAAATTAACGTAAGGTTTGTTTATGTACATATTTATAACGAAATATTTATTTAGGGCCATCGTACCTATCATTTAATTTAGACTCATTTCTTCAATAAGCATAGAGGGCACATATAACTGCATTGGTGTATCAACTATTTAATTAAAATTCGATTCGTTAATTGTCTGTCCCATATCATGTTTGAAAATATATATTCACTCGTCAGATATGTGCAATCACGTCCATTCGGTTGCGTCATTAATATCGCATTTACGGTCGTATTAGTCACTTTTAATATGCCCCCCTCGAGCCCGTAATCGCTTTACCATTTACTATGTAATTACTATTTAGCGACCCCAACGGTGTTCCCTCTTATCGAATATTCATCGCCATAATTTCCTTACCCCCTTGACCCGTCGATCCCTTTTACGGTGATTCTTAACGACGGTGTCTTTCCGAGCACAAAATTACCGCTCGGTGTAATTGCAACGGCAATTTTTATTTATAACCCCCTCCCCTCAGCATCGATAAAAGGGTATCGTACTGGATCGGTGAATATTCAAATTCCCGACCGTGAAGCTGACATAGGAACGAAAATATAAATAAACTACGCATCTAAAAAAAAAAAGAAATAATCGAAATTTCAATTTCAATTTCGCGACCTTGGTTAGGTTCTCACGGCCTCTTTTCCTCGTTTCCTTTCGTTAACTTTTACAAACAATGAAGAAATCTCGGGAGCGCGACTTAATCCGCGTAATTGTTGCGTAAATGTAAAACAGGGTTTATAAAATTACGCGGAATAAGTCCTCCCTGTGTGTTAATACAACGTTCGCGACAACTGAATTGTGCGCGTGACCTAATCTCCGGCAGACATCGCCAGTTGTACGGACGAGATGCAATTGAGCGATAAGACGAATAATAGAAACAATGTTCTGTTCGATTATTCGTAGAATTGTGCAACGGAAGAATAGCGCCCGTACAAAAGCGAAACGACACGTGTAGCTGGGTCGCATGTGTAATTTTAAAAAGGTATTGGATGTTGACACGAATTTGTGTTTATCAAAATAATTCATTCGTTCCCACGAAGTTTGCTGCTTCAATCGTTGTTCCTTATTCTGTTTCATTTAACGTGATCAAATATTTAGACAGTGACGTTCCGGGCGTTACGAATCTCCTCGCGATAGAAACTGAAAGGCCAGCCTGTGCCTTCGCAGACCTAGCTGGATGGCACGTCATATTTGGGGGGAGGGGGTCAATCCCCTTTTACTCAATTACGTCATCTCTCGGATTGTATTGTAGAGACGAGTACGTACGCTTTCCAGCGAGCGAAGTCGTTAAACTTAACGGTGGTTGCTGGAGGAAAAGTCCGTCGGGGATCGTTGTTCCGTGAACACGCGAGCACCGCGTAGGATTAGGGACTACAATGGCCGCAGTCAGCGCTCGAACGCTAGCCTAGACTTTGTATAGCTCGCGCTAACGCTGACCGCTGTTTCCTGCCCATTCAGGGCTTCATTTTTTAAATATGTGACGAGTTTCAGGAAATAGCACGGTATTCGATCCATGCTTTTCTCTTGGCGCGAACTAACCATGTCGAATAGTCCACGTGTAAACAAGTTGGCTGAACCAAATTGGTTAGGTTGAGACCTAGACTTTGGGTGGTGCACACTAGCGCTGTTTAGGCCACTGTCTCGTGCCCATTCAGGCTTCTTTTATGAAATATGTGACGAATCTCAGGAAATAGCATAGTATTCGCGACTTTCTTTTGCTTAGTTTGTTAATTATCCAAGTTAAGTAGTTCATGTGTGAACTAACCTCTATAGGATATTTCCTGGGTTCAATCACAGTGGAATCTTAATATTCTGCTAAATGAATAATGAGTAGATAGCTTTGGATACCTAAAAATTGGTCTCGCTTCAAAAATCCCCAATTATAAATTCCTGATTGGTTCCACCAGGTGGTGTTCTTTAATTTCCACACTCCACTCTTGATTAACACACAATTCTCTAACGCGTGAACAGTTTCTGGTGTCAGCGATTGGATTCTTATTTTTCCCATCGATCGGTTCCTCCCACTTTTGGTTTTACCGGTTCCTGGTGCCGCTATTTTTAGCGACGTTGTGTAAGCGACGTCTGTGGCGTAGTAAACCTATGTGGGACGTATCGCATGTACCAAATTGCAGCGAAACCAGGGTAAGAGTTACCAAGGACTGCAGCGATTAGACGGGAAGACGAAAAAATTTTACGTCTGTTACAGGCCTCGATAAAATTAGACTTTGCTTGGCGACGGAGCAAAAGTTGGAGCGAAATTCAGCAAATATTAAGCACACATCGCGTATCTTATCGATTACCTTTGCACACGCTTCTCGGTTAAAAAAGGAGTCCAATTACTTTCAGATAATAAAATTTTCGAAAACTTCTTTACGAAGATCCACGCGGGACAGGAAATCAATGTATTATATAATATTAACGTGTAATATTATTTTTATATACAGAAGATTTGTTTGAATGAAGACATCCTATGGATTACGGTTGGAAGAATTACCACGCAATAATTTTATTTTATTTTACTCCAGTAATAGATGAAATATTATGGAATTAATACATATCTATTTTTGAACGGTTTTGTGCATAACAAATAGAAACAAAGTGTATTACAACAGGCGAGGTACAGCTGAAATGCTACTGTTCAAACCAAACCTCAAATATGCGCCACTATCTGCGACACCTGTATGTAAATTTCCCTGCTATTGTATTTTTGGTCTGTCAGTGGGCCATCGCAAATGAGCTCGATAAGCATAGGTATTATCTCGTTAAAAATTTGTCTCGCTAAATACGCCTCACCAAATATTCCCGTCTGAAAGTCTGTCGAAGTTTCTCTTATAATTCCACGACATTCCTAAGAATTTATGCTCGAACACGAGCTCGATGTATCGTACAGTGTGTGCACAGTCTTTTACGACCGGCTGTACGTTGCCCTTCACAGCAGACTTTTGCCCATTGTATAATTTACCAGATAAGTATCGACACGTCAGTAAGAGATAACCTCTTCAAATATACTTATTACCGAAGACGTTTCAATTTATTCGCTTTCTGTAGAGCGCTCGTCCCATCCATCCGGTTCGTTCACCGCCGACCGTGGTGTCGTATAAATGCAGCAATTGTCGATTAAGTATCTAATCTAATTAGGCTAGCGATAAGAGTTGGCCGCACTGTCGTGTGCTGTCAGTGGTCCACTAGAAATGTCGCGGTCCGCTGCTTTTCGATGCTAATGCCGGAAGTACCCGTATAACAGAGTTCACGAGCGGAAACGCAGTCGGGGATGAAGCAAACTGCTGCACTCTCTATAGGACGGACTTGTTGGTTCCATCAGGCGCCGAGTGGCGCTAGTAGTACGCGAGATCTAAACCCATTGCAGACCACGATTTCCTAAATACTAATATTTTTGTGTCGTTTTATTCTTTGCAAAATGTTCAAAGAAGAAAAATTCCTAAAAATCATTATCGACAGTTTTACCCAACTATGTTTTGCGGACACTGAACTCTTTCTGCTACACCTAAAGCTTTTACTTTTCCTCGCAAATTTTAGGTTAACTTCAAAGACAGTGAAGGTGTTAACCTACCTTCGAGCACATCGATCAGCTATTGAGTCTCGATAAAAATATGTTGCAAGAGCGATAAGAAGTTTTCTGCTCATTCTAATCATTCCACTTACGTAATGGGATCCAATATGTGTCTATAACGTTTGTTTTGATAGTCTGCGTCATTGATACTAGATAGTAACTGTACAAGAAAAATTAAACGCCTCGTAAATAATGACACAGTTTTGCCTAATTATATAGCGATTTACTAGGATAATTTTATTCAACAAAAAGATTGGCTGTATTAACATCTGGACGTATAATAGATAATGCTAATCTTTATTTCCTAAGAAATTGATTATAGGATAATTCATAACCCTCTACGTTTATTTATTAATATATTCACTACATACCCGCAAGAGAAATAAAAAGGCAGGGACAAAATAATGAGATTCACTGTACCAAGAATTCCATCTCAACCGAAACATATCAACTTCATTTCCTTAAAAAATGTTTTCAAACTCCTGTCCCGCATTAATCTCGACTTCCACGTACAAATATTCAGAACTAAATTGATCACTGCGGATCATTCAGACATAAATAAAAATATGTTTCATCTTCTATAACACGTGCACTATCGTTGATATTTTACGTATTCCTGCATTTATGCACGTTCTCATAAAATTTCCCATGGCTCCGTTACACACATCCACAGTCCATCGACCAGTATGCTCGAAAACGTGCTTCCGCAATAATAAATATAAGATTTACGTTCTGAGCGGCCGCGTCTATTCAGCCGCCACTGTTGTTGTTGTCGTTGCCCCGCGCTCCTTTTTCACGCTCGTCTCGCTTCCGTGGCCGCTGCCACGCATCAGTACAATCCGCGGCAACAAATTGGAAAGGATGAAGGTTGCTCGCCAAGGAGTTCACCGTACCGTGACCTCTAACGTTCGCTACCTCCCGGCATCTAGATGTCGTGCACCTTTCTCCTCGAAAGTCGAACAACGCGTTTTGGATTCTCGACGCGTTCGCCATTTATTCCAGGATCGCACGGAACACCGAAACGTGCATTCCTTAGATCCGTGGACGGCTCCGAGAATTCGACGCGAAAACGTCGATTCGTCTGCGAAGATGATAGAAACAATTGCTACATTGTCTACGCGGACTTTGTCCACGGCACAGACTCGTATTTATGAAACTAACCGTGAGAATGGTTCTTTCAGCGCGAAATTGTTGCCATTAAAGACGCGATAGCCAGCCACGAAGGCTTCCTCGAGGACGTGGTGAGCTATCTGCAGATAACTGTTGCAACCATTAAAATTGCTAGCTTGTACTACGATTCGACACCAATTTCGCGATGTATATTGTGTTTTGGACTTGTACTATGCCTGGGAGACAAGATGGCGGATAGGCAACTGGGGAGCCACGGGATCGCTCTGTAATCCCTCCAAAGTTTCCACTCGTACTCCATTGTTTCGTATTATTTCGCTTCATGAAATAATAGAATAAAAAAGAATAAAATGTAGGTAGAACAGTATTTTTCTTTTAATTTGAGTGGGAAATATCGCGATGTATATTGTGTTTTGGACTTGTACTATGCCTGGGAGATAAGATGGCGGATGGACATCTGGGGAGCCACGGGATCGCTCTGTAATCCTTTCGACTTTTACTTTCACTCGGTGCTCCATTATTTTCGTATTATTTCACCTCATGAAATAATAAAGAATAAAATTGAGATTGAAGAGTATTTTTCTCATAATTTGCGTAGATAATATCATGATATATACCACGTTTTAGACTTGTACAATTCGTGTGAGACAAGATGGCAGATGGGCAACTGGGGAGCCATGGAATCGCTCTGTAATCTCCCCGACTTTAACTTCACTCGGTACTCCATCATTTTGGGTTGGAGAGTAATTTTTTTTTTAAATTGCGTGGGCGTTGCTTAAATCGTGTAGCTCGTTTCCGATGGAGGCATTTTCCTCTGTCATTGACTTTTATCAGCCACTGTGCGAGCACTATCGGAGGAAGCAGATAAAGCAATCCAACATTGCTCATAGGCAATCTTGCATTGAACGAGTTACGAGGGGTTGTTCCAGTTTTCGCAGCTCCTCGCGTATTACATAATATTCACAATTATCTTTATGCGACGAACACGTAACAACATTCGTTCCAAGTAAATTCATTCCTCGAATAAAGACAATATAAAAATCTGAAATGTGAAAAAATGAAATAAAAATTGATTTATCTGACGAATAAATATAGATACCTGGTTTTTCTTGGAGTTCGAAATAACTCGGGTTATATTTATTCGGCCACGTAACAGATAACGATTTTCAATCTCTTGTTCGACACGTGTAATTTTTATTCAGATAAAGATTCACGCAGTGGAACGTGAAATTAAAGCAGAAGGTAAAAAACCTTGTAGACGTTTACGGAGTGAAACGAAATGTTGGCCTGCGGAATGATAAATTCAACTTTCTCGCTTTTCACTTGACGCGAAATTGCCATGGTAAAACTAACCGTGCAACGTTAATTTTCCCAACGAGACGTATACAAAGGAACACGCGAGCTCCATGTATGTATTATTACATTTTCCTAGAATACTTTTCGGCGTCGTTAAAATTCAATTCAACATTTTTCGCCTTCGATTCTTTTCTAATTATACAGCGAACTCTTCTCTAACGTACTGAAAGCAGTCTCCCGCTGGAAAAGACCTAAGTTACATCATACGCCGAATCCGCTAGTGACTACAGTATCAAGGAATTCAACGAACGATATTTCTAGACTGTTCTAACGTCGAACGGAGCCACTGCGCCGCGATAGATAATAGTTCCTGTAATTGAAGATACAAGTGATACATTATCGCATTTCACAGAGAGGGGAGCGTTACAAATTTATAAACAATTTCCCACCTGTCAAGGACAAATTTCCACTGCAAATCGTTCTACGATACTACGTCCAACGTTTCCAGTCATTCCAGACCATTGATTTACGACCTATTGCCCTCCAGTTGTATCGATCCGCGAAACAAATTCGCTCCAATCGCGAATCCAACCTTAGAGCCACTTGCCTGGCGTCGTTTAGGCCATGTGGGAGTAACAGAAACCATGTGTCGTCGCGCGAATAGTCGAGAAAGATGAAAATTCAGCGGGAACCCTCCAGTCGTCTCGGTTCGGTGTCCAGTCGTATTGGTCCGCGAACAAGTATTCGTCCCACTCGTAAATCGTTAAATACCGAGTGCTTTATATTCGCGTAGGCAACCTTTGGAGATATTTTCAGACGTTTACGACACGCGTTACGTACGGTGGCCCATTTTTTTTCCACAAGAAGAGGGGGGGGGGCGTATTTATCGGACGCGTAAAAACGTACGTGAGCAATGAACGCTGCAGGTACACGATTGCGATAAAGCAAACAGTCCGACACGAAATTAAGTGCCGGCGTACGTATGCACGCATGCCTGCCGATAACAGCTTATCTACGATGACTTCCATCAGGCAGCTCGGTTTGCCAGTTTTCTATTCGATTAACCCTCGTTCCACGACTTTCACGCCCCCCGTAGACCGTCGATACGGGGATTAATATTATTCTTTACTTTCTTTTTAACGCGTAGTCTCCACTTGTCAGACATTCCAAATAAATGGTTTTCTTTCAATGCTTCATTTTTTAACACTATCGAGGTTTTTCGCTATTTTTCAAACGACTATATTTTCACCTTGTTTTTTTTTTTGGCTAATCGTGCAAACACTCGTCGAAGTAATCGATGCGTCTCAGTTCTGTCGCGAGGAACGTGAAAAATGAAGTCTCTTTAAAAATAGAAGATCCTTTTCCTTGCTAGGAGCAATTAAGCACTTTAGCGAACGATTCTAGATGTTGGTCGAACAGTGTCCGTGGGAGCGGAAGTTGACAGCACACGATCGCGTTAATCCATTCACCGAGGAACCGATTTACAAAACCGTGTCTCGTATTTCCGTTTCTCGTTTCTGCTATAATTGGCACAAGTTATGACATACCTTTGAATTAATTTTGTCAACCAAATAGATAAATTCAGGCCCCGATTATGCTATAATAGCGCGACTACACTATAGTTGTACCGTAGTAGCATTGCTATGCTAGGCATGACAGTAACAAGGAAATAGTATAAGTACACTTAAGATGGCGGCGCACGCACATGCACACGAAGCAGCGCTCTTATAGTAATTTATGTTTACGATAAAAATAATAGTAGACAAACAATCATAAAAGCTAGGTACTATATAACTCATCTAGCTAATAATAGTCTGACTTCGATAAAAGTCGTAGTAGTATCCATTTATTCCGAAACAACTGTATACGAAATGAAGCGTATTATAAAGTTTTGAGAAACGGAACGGTGTGTAGGAGCGAAGATAAGTATACAAGCGATATTCTATGTGTGCTGTTATCAGCTTGACCTCAAAATAATCCAGCATAACGAGTAAAACGACGCGATAATGCAATAAAATAAATAGATTCAATTTAGGCGTCTTTCGCGAGTGTGTCTTTCGAGTAGAGTGCCAAGTTGCCGCTAAGAAGTTGATCGGCTTAAGGGGCATCTTCGCGAAAACATTTGTATTTTACTTTGAAGAGCGTCGATGTAATCCTTCGGTTAGAACCAATTACCTGTTGAATCGGCTCGAACTTGCGACGGGGGAAATGTTGTCCGCCGCGTTAGCTACGGGGTCCCAGGAGAGGAAATCACGGTGTAAATAATTCCCAAAGGTACGTGAGAACTCGACTGAATTCCAGACAGCCAGCAAGTAAAACGAGCCGACGATGACTCGGGGTTCGAGCAGGGCCATCAACCTGTTCCATTCCACACGACGATTTTTGGGCAACTACCTGCCTTTCGTAACGTCACAGCGGCGAAGGGGAGGGGGGAAAATAAAATTGTCCGAATCGTAGGAGTTTCGGAATTTAGGAGCTTAGATTTTGGAAACTTTGGAGTTGGAAGCCTTGGAGTCGGAAGCTTTGGAGTTGGAAGCATAGAAATTCAAAGCTTTAGAGCTGGAAGCATAGCAAGTCAAAGCTTTAGAGGTGGAAGCATAGAAATTCAAAGCTTTAGAGTTGAAAACTTTGAAGGTGGAAGCTTTGGAGTTGGAAGCTTTGGATTTGGAGGCTTAGGAGTTGGAAGCTTTGTAGTTGAAATCTTTGGAGTTGGAAGTTTTGAAGTTGAAATCTTTGGAGTTGGAAGCATAGAAATTCAAAGCTTTAGAGCTGGAAGCATAGCAAGTTAAAGCTTTAGAGGTGGAAGCATAGAAATTCAAAGCTTTAGAGTGGGAAGCTTTGGAGTTGGAACCTTAGAAGTTGGAACCTTAGAAGTTGGAAGCTTTGGAGTTGGAAGCTTAGGAGTTAAAAGCTTAGCAATTGGAAGCCTAGAAATCGGAACCTTAAAAGTTAGAGGTTTGGAAATTGGAAACTTCGAAGTTGGAAGGTTAGAAATTAAGACTCGAAGCTACGATAATAAACTTCTTAATATAGTCATCATCGTTTAGAAAACACTGGTGTATGTTACTATGAAGTTAGAACATGTTGAATTAATTACGCAGTGAATTCGTGTGTGCATTATAGACTTCGATACAGAAATCGACATCTGCTACCTGTCTCGATAATTATGTAATACGATACGTTATTGTACGTCCAAATAGATAGAAAAAACATAATTGAGATCAAGATGTCGAACAGTCAAGTGCAAAACAGCGCAATACTTACGGCGTTATTTAAAAGTGGTTAAATTAAAGTTGGTCATTCCGACTCCATAAGGAAAGGTATCGAGATTTTTTATAATAATGACGAAAATAATATTGTCGCAGATTATATTTGCATTTTAATTCTTCGTACGAAGGAGCTGACTTTCGGTATTATAGCTAGTGAATTGCAAGTGGCATAAGAGGCAATTTCTTTTTCTCTACGTTTCAAGGTTTCTAGAGTTTCTAGACTTCCCTGGGATGGTTGACAGCAACGAGTGGTACCTGTTAAGAAGGGATCAGGTTTTGAAACGAGTTGCTAGCAAGAGACCTGTCGTCGTCTTCAGCGTCGCCGTCGGCGTCGTCCCTCCGTAGTTCGTGCAATGTTAGGAATAGGGTGGGGAGTAGACCCAAGTGACGGGTCGGTTTGGACGGGACTCGAGGACGTTCACCTTTTTTCGTGACTTCATCGAGACTGGTACATGCTGGTAAAAGTTACTACCATCGACTAGAATCCCATGGGCTGCCATGATGCTTTGTAGCAGGTGCTTCAGAAATTGGAAATTTAGATTTTGCAAGCTTAAGGGTTGGATATTTAGAAGTTGGAGGCTTTGAATTTGGAGGCTTAGCAGTTGAAAGCTTTGAAATTGAAAGTTTTGAAGTTGAAAGCTTTGAGGTTGAAAGCTTTGGAGTTGGAAGCTTAGAAATTCACAGCTTTAGAGTTGGAAGCTTAGAAGTTGGAAGCTTAAAAATTCAAAGCTTTAGACTTGGAAGCTTAGGAGTTCAAAATTTTGGAGTTCGAAGCTTAGAAGTTCAAAACTTATAATCTTAGAAATTGGAATGAATAAGAACCTCTCGAATAATGAACTGTGGAAATGTACAAAACTCCTAAGGTTCCCAAATTAGTAGAATTCGCTAATTCCACGCTCTCGAGCATGAATAAATATCGACTACTAAACCAGTAAACACTCGATTCCCGCTAGACTGGATGGCGATGCCAAGAAGTTCAAGAATTTATGTAACTGAATATTTGATCGCCCGAGCGCGCGCACGGTGGTTTCCTCGAGCAGCGACCGGTCGTTTCTACGCCAGGAATCGACGAACAATACCGAGACCCAACAATCAAGATCGTAACGACTTCATCGAAACATTTTGCTACATGAGAACGCACAATTTCCACTGATGGTCTATCCACATGTTGCGATTCACCGCGTTTTTTAAACGAACCACATTCATCCAGAAGCAATGGGGTCAGTATCCTACGGAGTGCATTACCCAAATTGTTCGTTAGTCGCGTTTGTTATTATTCCTTTGCTTCTACTAGTCCCATTTATGCACTGTTTTATTTCCATGAAATCAAAATTCACAACCTTTCCTAACCGAGTTGCATTAAAAGTCACTTAAAAAAAAAAATGTTTAATCTTGACTTGAGTCGACTGGTGTCCACGTTGCGTGCAATCGTTCATCAAGGCATGCACTCAAGTTTATTGCCGAACTGGCTAGTGGAAAGGTCAGTTCTGTTAAATACTTGGCGTGACTGCGCGCGCTTGTTTTCTCGTTTGCGAGCCCACGACGATTGTTTTCCTGCTTTCGAACAGGCAGTACCAGTCCCCAGGACCGTATCCTGACTTCGACACATCTGGTACGCCTAATCGTCTTTATCTTATTAAATAAAAACCATTAGGAACCGTATATATTATTGAACTATTTTTTAAAAATTATTTCCTCTATTTTTTTCTCGCAGAACTCTGCGTATTTGTTTCTGTTTACCTTCGCCACACCAACGGCGCTGTCAACATCGATTATATGATTATTTCACGAGATAGTGCGAGTATATCGATTACTCGTCGGTCGAACTACGCTTTGGGCGTAGCAACGCCTTTCGAATAATTTTTCATGCGAGTCGACGGATGCATAGAACACTTCGTGTCCTTGCAAAACTCATTGATGTAATTTTCAAAAGAAATTAATCTTTCGCTCGATATCTTTTTCAATCTCCCCAACAAAATATTCGCGTAATCTCCCGTTGAAGTCATGGATTCGAAGCAAATTTATTTGCTCTTAAAAAACAGTAAAGGATTTACAACCGAGAGATACAAATTTTTATCAAACCATAAAAGCAATAATTCTACCGAAAGGTAGAAGTTAAACGCATTCCGATAATATAGCCATCCACCGCAAAAGCGTGGGTCTCGGGAAGACAATAGTTTGTCGCAACGTCGGAACGAAAATTGCCAACCATAGATTTCTACGGTTTCAAGAATGTATTGACACGGACGAGCTGAGCTGGCGAAATAACTTTATCGAGCAAATTGCTGAGCCACGACCTGTCTCGCATTTCCTGCGCCGATCATCAGCAAATTCATATCGATGGCGAAATGTACGATCGCTTTCTAACCGTGAATCCAACGGGCATGGACGCTAGCCATTATAAAATCGTCTCCTGGATCCATTTTTTCTTCCTTTCCGACTGATGGTAAAACAGGAACTCTGTTATTCGAATCACCGCTGTCGCAAGAAACGTGCCAACGATCATTCGGTTGCTACTTTGATCGAATTCCAGGAAGAAGAGAGAGAGACGTACAGCATCTGTCTGAGAAAATAACCCTTATCACTTCAGAAACGAGTAAGAAAATGCACCGTTAGTTGCTACGTTTCCGCAGGAAGCGTGAAAGGCGCGAGATAAGTAACGCTGCTGCCACTGCTGGTATAACGGCACGGCCAGGGGGGCCGGACGCGGCAGGGGAGGGGGGTACAGAGGCAGATAGAGACGACGGAGAAAAGGAAGAGTCGTGTCACGACCTTGGATTCGAGTTCCGCATTGCTGAAGCGCAACACGACTCGACAATCCGGCCGTTTCAGCGAGTCAGTTTCCAACTGGCGACGCTACTGGGTTGTCTCAGGGTTTTCCGCCGTCCAAATGAGGAGAAAAAGTGTTTCCCTTCGTGGAAGTCGTTCGACGCGATTGTCACCGGCGGAGACAATGGCGACGTCGCAGGTTGTTGGCTGCTAATTGTCCGAGGCGAAATAATTATTCTGTTTCTGGAAAGACTGCCGAGTGCCTGTTAAACGAACGACCCGTGACGCAGGTGGACGGTAGGCGGGTACAGAAGCGGTTCGAGTCGAATTAAGGAGGGAACCCGGTTAAGTGAACGTGTCAGTTAACCGGGCGTTAGATTTCGCGAACACCTTTCGAGGGAATGGACGACAAACAGAGAGTAAGTCTTTCGGCGTGAATCCGAAAGGATAGTACGCGATATCCCGTGGCCCTGAGCTACCACCCAGGCGACGGATCGTTAAAAAGAGGATCGGGAAAAGGTCGAGAGGTGTTGACCCTGAAGAAACGCAAAAGGAAAAGCCTCGACCTTGGCTGGGAGTTCCGCATTGCAAAGGTGCACCGTCTGGAAGGGCTGAGGCTCGCTGGCCCTGGGGAACAAGGGCGGCATAGTCGTCTGGAAGGCTGCCCACTCCCTCCCTCCCCCCTGTCCGACCTTTAACTTGACCGCTTGGACGCCCTTCTCCTTCGTCGACGCGGGGCACTGTGACTGCTTCGGGATTCCCCTCCGCGCGCGCGCGCGCGTACAATTTTAGAAACGGGGTCCTTGACACCTTCGCTCGAGACAACTGGCAGCCATTGACAGCCTAGAACGTTGTTCCTCTCCCCTCCCCTCTCTCCATCCATTGATTTGCGCCGCTCGTCCACCGGTGCTTGGAAAACTATGCGCGAGCG